AGAAATAGTTCTCGGAAGAAACCATCGTCAAATGTTCGTGCACCGATTACTTCTCGCATGCGTGCGAGGACTTCAGTAGCTGAGTGGCTGCCTAGCTCGATGTTACGAAGCAATTCGTCTAGACGTTGGCGATCTGTGAGATCGCTTTTCTTCAAGAGTGCGGCCTTTAGAAGTGCATAAGGGTCACTTACTTCAGGATTAAACATGTTTGCTGTAACATACCTGTTTAATTCTCGCGGTAGTGAACGTATGATGGCAAGAAATCGAGATTGAGGATCTGAGACACCCTGTTCTCGAAAATCGGCCTCGGCATACAGAAACCATGTTTCTGCATTGTCTGGCCAATATGGCACGAGTTGGATCGTGTTCGAGGTCGGCTTAATACGAATAAGCTTGGGAGTGTGGTCGGACATGAGAAAGTGTAGTAAATGGATACATAAATGTTATCGAAATGAAAACAATAAACAAATATAAAATGGAACAGGCTCACCAATTCAATACTTGTTATTGGTCGGGATATGTTATCACGTCGGGATATTTGATCATGTCGCGCTCACCAATTTAGGATTTGTCCTGGTGCGAACTTGACAGACGCAAAGACCAATCACTAATTATTCGAACTTGTTATATACCCACGAATACGAGACCAAGGAAGAACACGATAGCGTAGTCGGATGGAATAGTATATTTGGATGGTTATGCCGAAATACCGATGCGTTCCAACTAACTGGCTAGAGAGTCGAATACGAGCAATGCAACGTAACACGACAGCGTGCCAAATGGCGAGGATGCTTGACCGGGTGCCTTCAGCTTAGCGAGTCCAGTTAAACTATCAAGGTCAGCATCAATGTCGAAAGTCGTCAAACCCTAGGCTATTGATTTTGGGGAAGTGTATGACGCTACACTATCGTCAAAAATTAAAAATTTCACTTCTACCCATAAAAAATACCACTCAATGACGGTGAAGCTGTACCACATGAACAACTCGAACCGGCAAAGTGTTGCAGCATCGGATATCATACAGCAGTCTGTTCCAAATGTTAGCATAACGCATTGTGAAAAATGAAGATTTAAGCCGTTTGAACGCATATGGTAGTGTGACTAGGCAATCTTGGTCTCTAAGATCATAGGGTTTTTTGTCAGCGAACTTTACTGTATCCACATTGGTAGTCACCTCGTGGTGCGGGACTTCATAGAAAATGTTGAGGTTCAACTTTATTCGCCTTAACCACATAGGCTCTAATCAACTGGCATGGCATCTACCTCTGTATGGGAGAAATAAGTCTGGTAAAGTATCGCTGAGTTTTCCCTATTTTCTGGTTGTCACTGGTCCGCAAGCAACAAAGTATGATAGGATAGTATTCTCGTAGTGTTTACATGCACACCTGATACAGAATCTGCTTGGTTTCACTCAGGTGAAAATTCCGGTGAGTGAAGCCGACGAGGTGGCATGCTTTGGAGCGCTGTGCCGTTGTGTGTTCTGCAAAGGAAAGGTCACTGGGGTATCTTATTCTTAGGTCGCACATACCACTAGGCTGCTGAAGTGCAGGGTTTTCGAGCCAAAGGTTAGATGACACTCTCTGCTCACCGGAGAACATAGAGCCAGACTTCAATGTGTTTGGTGGTACCAACCGGATGTCACATCTTTGTAGCTTGTCAAGATCACTTTGCATGAGGGTATTGATGCTGTCACATTGATTAGGGTGAAAGGTGTACACTACCTCCAAGTCATCTGCAAAGAGAAGGGTTTCCCCCGATTGAAGGCAGGCACGTATATCATTTATATACATTATGAAGACGAGGGGTCCCAGAACGGAGTCTTGGATTGCTCCACTGATGATATTTCTGGGAAGGGAACAGTGTGAGACTGTTTTGACAACTTGCCATTTATCCCAAATGAATTTTGTTGATGAAGGAGTGAAGGGTGATGCACTCTGTCAAAAGCTTTGGTGAAGCTGAAGTAAGGCAAGACAACCACTTTTCCGTCGTCTCTACTGTTAATTACGTGATCGAAGAATTCTAGGTGATGCACGACTTCTGAGACGGAAATCCATGACGCGAGGAGCTGGTAAGTTTATGCTCTGAAAGGTGACAGGAGATGGCTTCTTCACTACTTTCTACATTAAACGTGAGAGGACAGACGTTATATTGATGGGGCGGTAATTTTTCGAGCTGAGTCCGGAACCTTTCTTAAAACACGGAATAATATGACTAGTTTTCCAAGAAGGTAGGAGAGTGCCAAAGTTTAAGGACAAATTGAGTATTTTTGTTGACAATATAGGGAAGTATGAGCTACCAGTTTTGATGAAAATTCCAGGTACCTCATCTACTCGCCCACTAAGAGAGTGTTTTAGGGAGTTTATTGCATTACGTACGTTGTTTAGATGAAATTCAACTTCCGAGACTTTATGTGCACCAGTGTCACTGAGTGTTGCAAGGCCGTGATTACACTGGTGACAACCAGAAAATAGAGAAAACTCAGCGATACTTTACCAGACTTATTTCTCCCATACAGAGGTAGATGCCATGCCAGTTGATTAGAGCCTATGTGGTTAAGGCGAATAAAGTTGAACCTCAACATTTTCTATGAAGTCCCGCACCACGAGGTGACTACCAATGTGGATACAGTAAAGTTCGCTGACAAAAAACCCTATGATCTTAGAGACCAAGATTGCCTAGTCACACTACCATATGCGTTCAAACGGCTTAAATCTTCATTTTTCACAATGCGTTATGCTAACATTTGGAACAGACTGCTGTATGATGTCAGATACTGCAACTCCATATCGCAGTTCCAGCCAACCTTGAACCACTAAATCAATGAACTTGGAGTATGCAGGATTCTTAGAGTACCTTACATCGACGATACCGTGGTCTTTATCGACCCACCAAATATCTAGAGTCCAACACGTAAGCCTAACACAACCACCTAAGAATTTATCATATAGTGAGTAATCTTCGTTAAATTGCACACTATTCTATGCGTATCTGTGGCGATTATGTGTCTGATGCTAGTTACTGAACCCCACCTCAATGCTCTCATAGTTCAACTTCGTTCCGCTACTCTTATCCCCACCTAAAAATAAACACCACTCACCATTCTCTTTTCCGTTTGTAATCAGCTAGGAGTCTTTGCGTTTTACAGAAGCACAAGTCAGTTTCGCGTGAGAAATCAGGCTTAAGTGGAGGTATAATGGTCATAGGTGTTGCCTGATTTGTGATAAATACCAAGAGATGACCGAGTCAATAATGTATGCACGGTCTTAGCTAGCTCAGAGTAGACTGAAAATATCTTCACAACCACCAACTTTATTGAGCGTAGTACAGAAGTATTTAAAAAACTGAAGTTTAAAGATGCGGAGATGGTGATAACTGACCAGCAAGCATGGTGATGAACTTAAACTATCCTTGCCTGTATGGAGGTATCTTTATGATGGGTTTTGAATCCAAAAAAAAGTGACGACACAATAGAAAATAATAATAAGGTCACTAAAAGAAAGTAAGTCCGCTATGTCTACTACCTCAGCTCACTTTGCACCATCATATCGTCTCTATAGCCCAGATGAGATAACACTCAACAGACAATACCATGGTCACCCCTTCCCCATGATTATATAAAGCGTAGTTACCACTAAAATAAGAAGCATGAGTTTTACCTAAATGCTTATAAGTTCAATTGACTTTTATACACAAGTTTTTTGCACGTAAGCGAATACCTGGTTCCAAATCCTTTAATCTCTCTAGTGATATCTTCGGTTTCAGGTTTGTTTTCACTACTTTCGTGTGTGCCTTTGTCTTCTTCCCCATAAGGTTACCTCTAAATAGTTGGTTTTGGATACATCACCAAGTAACTGTTGTAGTCGGTACAAGGAACACACCTTTATATTGTCATGTTTGGTATATTTGTGCGTAGTATTTTTATGCTCATATTTCAAATTTCGGCTGCGCCTGGCTTTTGCTATTTATTTTTCAGGTCTAACTGTTCAGTCTTTCATCCATATGGGATCCTAGTAATCGCACTTGTCAGCGTATACCATGCTACCACAACTGTATGAGGAATGCACACAACCAAAGGTCACGGCTGCATTATCCACCCTACGTTCAAGAATATTCGATGGTTCGAACAGTGACTGATTAATTCCTATTTTCGAACTGACCTTGGTTCTATCTGCAGAACAACTATGTTGGTGTTTATCTGTATTGTTCTTCGTTGTCTGAGAAGCAGTAACGTCCTTTCCCTAGACCGATCTCGTATATGCCATGGATAACGGTGTCTAATGTACTGCTTGATATTGCACATAACAGTCAGTTCGCATTACCTAAATGATCAAACCTGCAAGCTGGTTTGTTTTCATGTAGGCTTATGTTGTGTAAAATACAGTTTATTATTATTAATGTTATTATAGCAGTCGGTTGCATGAATAGAAGTGAGATATGAGCAACATGCGAACGCCTTGGTCAGGGAGTTATAAATGCATTATGCTTGAATTCACCTACTCTTAATTGATTATAGTTACTTGTAAGAAAACGAAACGACTGGAACCCTTGCTTCGATGAAACGGAAGCAGAGAACCATATATGAGCAAGATAATAATTGTGTACACCATATGGGTAGGGCAATCATACAAACTGTGTACCAATTTACAAAACATGACATGGCCTGATGAATAACGCTTTAGGTACTGGGTTTAAATCTCAGTGGGAACAACACCGCTCACTTGGGTACGGGTACACTCAGCTGAAGAGTCCTAGATTAGACGAAATACTCGTCCAGGACTAAACTGATAATCACCAAGATGAATGCAAAGCAACAACTTATTTCTCTAAAATGATCTAATTGGTTAATTTATAATTATTTCCTCCTCGAAACTACATATAGATTTTAAACTGAGACTTGATATAAAGCTGTTTACTTGAAAATAAATTTGATATTTGAAGTTACCGCATAAATATCCATCAAATAACAAATTAGTAAATATACTGGACATAATATATGCAAATCACGATGAGCAAGAAACACGCAGTTTACGAGACCAATCAGGAGGACGATTTCTGTTCCTTGAACACGTTGGTGTAGACTGATTGGGCTATAAGGAAACGTTAATGACAAAAAAAGAAAGTGAATAAGGCTGAATAATTCAAAAACGAGTGTAAAATACTTCACATTCAATAAAGTTCTAAGGTCATTCAAGGTTTAAGATATGAAAGTCGTAGAAATGAAGAACTAGTGGCTTCCAAAATTGTTAAACTTCTGTTTAAGAAAAAAATAACAGTCAAACAAGACGAATTACTGTAGAACCATGCAGAGGAGCGAATCAGTTTAGGTCACAACACTTCACAGTAGTATGCAAAAGAAAACTGCGTAGAAAAAAGAAAGATATTAAAATAGACAAAGTTGTATTCAAAGAGAGAGGATGAATAATATGAATGTGAATAGAAATGATCAACACCTCGAAGATAACAAAGAATGCATACATTTCCGCCATCGCGACTATCAACCATTGATTTCTATTGTCTCAAAACCACTAGCCATCCAATTTACATCTTCTTATACGGCTTACATCAATAGTTAGAAACTTTATGAATTTGTATAACATTCTAATCTGATCACCCTTAATCTTCTTTCAACCAAACCCTACATTAAGCACACTGACAATGATCACTTACTTCAGATGAATTCAAGCAAGTCTAATCAGTCCACTCAAGTACATACTTGAACTTCATACCTAAAGCAAGCCAAATTTATTAACTAACGCACAAAACATCTCACTTTTGTGTAAATAGTTAAAGGTTTAAAGGATAGCAGAGCTGTATTAGCAAGTGTTCGAACATAGATAAATCTAGACTTTATAAGCTAGTTGTTAAATACTGATGTATAAGCAGTTTATGTTAATGTCAATTTACTAGTCACACCTTATTCACTTTACCAATATTATGAACGTTAAAAATGGTGATATATAACATAGTCATAATTCAAAACAGTTCATATGTAGTTTATTGGTAATTCATACAACGATTATATACTGGTAGACAATTTCATTTACGGATATTCTGGTAATCTTATTGTTCTTGTAGCTCTACATTTACTGGGTAGATATTTTTCAACATCTCAGTTTATAATCATCCTTGATGAAACTTTTCAAGATGGTAAATTTGTAATAGTATTTTAAAAGTTGCTACAGGAGTGATAATATACATGACTTGTGGATCGGTGAATTTATTGATGTGTAGGTCTCGTTTATCCGATGTTCAAGCATTGCATTGCATTCTTCTCCATCTCCTATCGATGAACACAGTTCATATTTAATATTTAATCACAAGAAACGTCAATTTTCTTGACTTTTTTTAAAAAAACAATTAGTTCCCTTTATAAACTTCGACAAAACAATAAGAAGACGTAAATTGTCTGAACCGTGTAATGTATTTGCGCAACACATTTCCAACTATCTGATCACACACGTACTTGTCATAGGTATTTATATAAAAACTCATGAAGATAAGGGGTGAGAAAATAAAAAGGGGTCAGGTAGGAAGGCTGACTTAAAGGCCGAATAACCATGAAAATCAATAGAGCGAAAAAATAATAGTACATCGAACATGGTTTTCTCAATAGTTGAATTTACCAAGGAAGATTTAATGTGACAACAAATTGTTTATGAACACACAGAGATGGTTTCAACTTCCTAATAGCTAAGGCTTCAACAAATTTCAGGATCCCTCCCCAACATGTTTTGTAAATAGGTGTAAAGGAAGTAGTCACATCAATCTTGTGACCTGTCTCAACAATATGTTTGGCGATCGAAGAACTTGGACGTCTGCTACCAACATTTATAGGTTCAGGTGATTTAATTTGCTTCTGAAGCCACTTTGGAATATGTTCCGAGGTCCTTACTTGCATGGATCTATTAGTCCTCCCAATGTATGTGTCACCACACGTACATTTGAATTGGTAGATACAATGGGATGTGACATTATCGTTCACATGCTGTGAGGGTTTGGGGGAATATAAGGGCTTCGTGGTTTCGATTACTCGAACCCTGGCTGCATAGTAAGTCCTTCTAACAGCAGCGTTGAGTCTCTGCTTAAGGATTGCACTCTGAGAGTCACCTTTGTACGGAAGGCTGATGAAGACATCCTTCTTTGGGACTGACTGCAATTCTAGTTTTGACGCTCTGCTGATTTTGTTCTGCCTGATAAATGTTGATGGATAGTTACTTTCCAACAAAATATCGGTCAGTGTTCCTCTTTCATCTTCTAAAGTATCCTCGGTGCATATTCGTTGAATTCTGCTGAATAAGCACCTTACTAACGTTCGTTTGTACTGAACTGGGCAAAAGCTATGGTAATTCAGATATTGTCCTGTCCATGTAGGTTTTCTGTAGATAGATCGTTTTATGGATCCATCCTGCCTTCGACTAATTAATATATCTAGGAACGGCAAGCAGTCATCTTCCTCTCTTACACATGTCAAAGATATGCTGTTCTGTACTTCGTTCAGTCGGTTTAGAATTGAAGTAGCCTGATTTGAGTTTTCACAAATAATCAGGATACCGTCAACATATCTTCGATACAGATGGGCTTGGTCTATTAAGTTCTTGGCTAAGTTCTCAACGTGTGTCAGACAGAACAAAATCAGCAGAGCGTCAAAACTAGAATTGCAGTCAGTCCCAAAGAAGGATGTCTTCATCAGCCTTCCGTACAAAGGTGACTCTCAGAGTGCAATCCTTAAGCAGAGACTCAACGCTGCTGTTAGAAGGACTTACTATGCAGCCAGGGTTCGAGTAATCGAAACCACGAAGCCCTTATATTCCCCCAAACCCTCACAGCATGTGAACGATAATGTCACATCCCATTGTATCTACCAATTCAAATGTACGTGTGGTGACACATACATTGGGAGGACTAATAGATCCATGCAAGTAAGGACCTCGGAACATATTCCAAAGTGGCTTCAGAAGCAAATTAAATCACCTGAACCTATAAATGTTGGTAGCAGACGTCCAAGTTCTTCGATCGCCAAACATATCGTTGAGACGGGCCACAAGATTGATGTGGCTACTTCCTTTACACCTATTTACAAAACATGTTGGGGAGGGATCCTGAAATTTGTTGAAGCCTTAGCTATTAGGAAGTTGAAACCATCTCTGTGTGTTCATAAACAATTTGTTGTCACATTAAATCTTCCTTGGTAAATTCAACTATTGAAAAACCATGTTCGATGTACTATTATTTCTTCGCTCTATTGATTTTCATTGTTATTCGGCCTTCCTACCTGACCCCTTTTTATTTTCTCACCCCTTATCTTCATGAGTTTTTATATAAATACCTATGACAAGTACGTGTGTGATCAGATAGTTGGAAATGTGTTGCGCAAATACATTACACGGTTCAGACAATTTATGTCTTTTTTTTTTATTATTTGATATGTTTTCATTTTGTTGAAAGTGAAATATACAGTCGAAAGTACCAGCTACCTCTCCCCCACTAGAATTATTTGAGGAAATCTTGTTTAGATGGCTATTTTTAAATCTGTAAAAACTATAATTGGGTCCTAGGTTTGCTGATTACTTTTTCTTGAGGAAAGAGAGCTAGAAGATCACTCATTACTTTTTGGCAACACTGTATAGTCATGAATTATCCTAAAAATCTTTTAATCAGGCTTTCGTTTCGTTTAAGAAGTTGTCAAAGTTAGCAGTTCACTTTAAAAACTGGATGCTGATTAACGCATTAAATAACATTTTTGTTTCTACATTTCTGATAACTCCTTACTCACTTGAATGTTATATCTTAGGTAGTATTATCGTAATTCCAGTTGAAATTGGACCTATATTGATTTCCTGTTAATAGAATTCGGTATTCACTTCTTTATACACCTCAACTGGTTGAGACTATACACGCGAACTTGCATTGTATTTAACTTTAATTAAGGATAAAAGTTAGGTTTCAAGCATTTATTTATTACAATGTGAAATTATTACACTTCTCAAAATAATGAAACTTCAATTTGGACTCGAATTAAATTCATTGTTCATCCAAAGTACTTAAAGGGAATTGAGGGAAATCTTGAACGGCTTCATAGAAATACGTTATTCAATAGCTTGTAAATAGACAAAAATATTTACTTATTCTTCGGATAATCAGCACATTAACTTGCTGTGAGGTTACCAAATTTGACTATCTGCGATAGCAGTGGTTTGGTGGACTTGTATTATTGATACTGCCTGATAATTCAAAGGTGAAATGAAAGTTTGAGCCGCGTTAGGATTCAATTTACCTTCAATCAACGAGTAATAACAATACGAGTCTGCCAAACTACGACTATCTTAGATAGTCAAACTGATAATCGAGTTGATGCTCTTCTTCTCGAATTCAAGTTGATTTGGATTGGGATGAGAAGTTCTGACTCGGCAGCCAAGGTGAATATGATGAAGCGATAGTAACGCGTCACGTAATCACATGGTAGTCAGGTAAAATCCTAGGTGATTGAAGTTAAATATTTTGAATTATGGTGCATTAGGAACATATATAGTTCAGATAAATATGTGTATGAAACACGTCACATTTAAACAAGGAAAGTGAGCCACTAGTCTTTGCCTACTATTGAGTAGGGTAAAGAGGGAGGGGAAGACTGCTCATCATCATCATCATTAAGATCGATACACGACAAGTCATTACTGCGTAACAGTGAGTTGTCACACCTCATATCACCATATCAAGTAACAAGGCAATAAAATGAAAGATGAAGAAAGAAAGAAAAACTGATCAAAATAAGTAGAAAGTAATAAATGAGAGAAAGTGATGAGATTAAGTACAGCGGTTAAGATGAGGATAATTTGTGTACGCATCTGCACCACTGACATGGGTTCTGAGCCATATCACCCAGTCTCCAACTACTGGTTTCCCTTGTCGCGCAGAACTCAACCGGCTAGTCTGTATCGTCACACATGGCTTAAGCCAAAAGACCAACGACTTCATGCATCGATATCATGTTTTAGTCTGGCCACCCGCAGTCGTTTTCTAGCCTAAGCCTGCTGCCCATAATATTGGGAGATGGGGCAGACGGTGGCTAGGCGTACACGTAACACATCCCAGCTAGCCATCTCAGTCGATGAAGGTTCACAACCACACCAGCTGTCTTTCCTCTCCTGCCTGAAACTCTACATTTGACTTTGCCTTACTCATAGTGTCCACAAGACTGCATCTTCACCTAACAGGACTATATCATCTGCATATTCTAGGTCTACCAAAAACTCTCCTGAGATTAGGTCAATCCCTCTGTGGTTAAATGATGAGAGGGGGACCTCCATAAGTACATCTATGGTAAAAATGAATTAGAATGGAGAGAGTGGGCATCCTTGATAGACACCACTAGACGTACACAACTCACCCGACACCTAACCATAAGCTCTACCACAGGCTTTAACATGTTTGAGTAAAGAGCCTTCAATAAGGTGATGTGCCTACTTAGTACCCCTTTCAGTGAGAGACCCTGCTATAAGACTCGTCTATCAACGGAGTCGAATCTCGCTCTCAGATCGAGAAATACAGCTGTTTTCGGGCGTCGGTAAGCGTGCCTGTGTTATAGAACCTGGTGGAATGTGAATATTTAGTCGATACACCCAGGATAAGGTCTGATGCCTGCCTGGTTTTCTAGGGCTTGTTGTTGCCGAGCTCCACCCAGGTGTCTGATGATTATAAAACCTAGAATCGTAGACAGTATGTTCTTCAGGCTGATTCCTCTGTGGTTATCATAAGAGGACTTCTCGCCTTCCTTGAAGATTTGGATAGTCAGTGATTGAGACCGGAGTGGTAGTTAAACGGGTACTAGTATATCGTCTTACAGGCATTTCAAATGGTAAATCATAAGCGTAGGTTAAGCGTAAGTAGTTGTGGGGTCATTCCAATCATGAGGCGTATTGGAAGTCAGAATCATATGACAGAGTCAAAGCTAAATATGCACTTCACAGTTATCAGTTCAGTAAAGTTGATATCAAGTCATATCAGTTTATTTGGCGTTATAAAAGTGACACAACTAAAAATCAAGGAGAATATTTGTAGCGCACGGAAGAGATGTTTTCAGAGTTGGGTTTTTAGTTGGCAAACATTCCAAAGTCATACTAGACATTGTCATAATTCATCGATGGTTTACATAACTATCTAGCTAATGATTGATTTCAATCTATCTGAGAAAATTAACAACACGACATCAATATAACCTCCCAATCATTTGTAAAAAAAATCTATTTCAAATGGTTATATTATTTACCTCATCATTTGGAGATAAATTCATTTCTTCAAAGGGTGTTCGAAGTGCATTGAATAATTTACGAGCTACTGTATAATCTCCTGTTTCAGCTGACTTGATTGCTTCTTCTGCAAAATGGTTACGTAGAACTATTCGAGGATTTACAGACTTCATTAAATCTAAACGTGTTGAAAACGCTGTATTGTTATTATTCAGTTGGAAGTCGATTTTCAAGCGTTGTGTATATGCTTTTAACCATTTATTCCATAAGTGAACGTTTCTTTGCTGATTCTCTTCTTCTGTCATATGCTAAGTTAAATAAAAACAAAACAACAACATAAAACTTTATAAAACAGTTAAGTAGTTATATCGAGCACTAAGTAACTTTGAGTGGTTATACATAGGGACTGGTGACTAGTGAAATCTGATAAGCACTTGCTGAATTACCTCACCTTCAGAATCAGTGTTTTTATAAAGGTTCAGTATACTGATGGAGGTATCCAGGTGGTTGGTATTTACAATTGTCGACACTGTGGAAGTTGTTTCTGTAATCCACATAGAAGAGAAAATGGATTAGTTTTGGATGATCGCGATGCATATGAAACATCTGCTCGAGACCAGTCACACATGAACTTTTTCAGGATTGTTGGATTGAGATTTCATTGTACTATCATTGAACAAGAAAAACTCATATCTCCAACACTAGAATACTGTAGAGCAGAAAAGAGTATTTTATTTTCCGGGCTAATCTTTCCCAATTCCTCCATCTGATAGGGAAGATGGCATCAGTGTGAGCTACTAGAGAACCTCGTAAAACTCATTACTGCCATCACATCCTATCCCATCCAGTCAATAGTACAATTTCGCTCTTTGACACCCACTATAAAGTACACTGCAAACAACTGTGACGATAACGATTTATAATCTTACCAATATCCAGTAAACGTTAAGAGATCAATACAAACCCTGATGAACTAAGCTACACAGAAATACAAGAAAGTATTTCCTATATAACATATTTATTTGAAAATAAAGTAATACAATCAACCATTTCGATAGCGTAATTAGAAGACGAAGTTTATCTGGACAATGCATGTGATGTATTTGCGCAATATATTTCGAACTATCTGATCACACATTTACCTGTCAAGTCAATGTATATTAAACCGAGGAGTGGGAGGATAAATACAACAATTAACACAATAGAGGATTAAAATTAAGAAAGATGAGGATAAACAGGAAGTGGTATAGTTGATACTAATCTTGGTAGGGAAACAAAGTTTACCAAGGTAGATGTAGTGTAGTAACAAACTGTTTTTGTACACATATAGGTGGTTTAAATTTGTGTATGCCTATGGCTTACGCAAATCTCAGAATACGTCTCTGACTGTTTCTATATAAAATTTTGAAAGCTGTTTGAACATTAACTTTATAACCTGTTTCTATGATATGTTTATCTATAGATGAAGACAGTCTTCTCCTATCAGCGTTTATCACTGTTTCACACTCCATTTGTTTTTGAAGCCATTTAGGCACATGTTCTCCCACCCTCAACTGCATGAATCCATTAGTCCTCCCTATGTATGTGTGATCACACACACACATGTAAATTGGTAAACACAATAGGATGTTTGAAGCAATTAGTCCCTTTAATAAATTTCGATAACGCTATTAGAAGACGAAGATTATCTGAAAAATGTGATGTATTTGCGCAATACATTTCGAACAATCTGATCACACATTTACTTGTCAAGTCAATTTATATATGAAAATTAAAGGTCAAATATAGTGAATATGAAAAGGTTGTGACACTAGTCTTGGTAATATAATCAGATAAGGATTACCAAGGTAAATTAAGTGAAACAACAAATTGTTTTTGTACACACAGCGGGGATTAAGTTTACGAATGGCTAACGCTTCGGCAAACTTCAGTATGCGCCACTGATTATTCCTGTATAGTATCTTAAACGCTGTTTTCGTATTAACCCTGTGATTCATTTCAATAATATGTTTTGCTATAGATGACGATGGATGTCTGTCACCTGCACTTATCAAAGTTTGTGTGTTAAACTGTTTTTCTAGCCACTTGGGGATGTGTTCACCCACCCTAGTCTGCATTGAACGATTACTCCTCCCTATGTATGTGTGCCCACACATACATGTAAATTGGTAAACACAGTAGGATGTGGTGCAATCATTTGTGCGAGGTTGAGGTTTGTGGTGAAGCAGGTGTTTTGTCGTCTCAACAATGATAAGCTGAGCTGCATAGTATGTTTTACTGATAACAGATTTTAATCTCTGCTTCAATATCATACTACTTGTTTCCCCTCTGTATGGTACTTTAAGAAATATGTTTTTCTTCGGGACCGAGGAAACTCTAGGCTTTAGGGTCAACTGCTTTTTACAATGGTTGACAAACTGTAATGGATAACCATTTTCCACTAGAGTATCTGTCAGAAACTTATTCTCATCATCCATCGTATCAGATGTACAAATACGTTGGATTCTATTGAACAAGCATCTTACTAAGCCTCTCTTATATTTCATCGGACAAAAACTATAAAAATTCAAATACTGTCTTGTCCAAGTAGACTTCCTATATATTGATCGTTTTAAAGATCCATCTTCCCTCCGGCACAAGAGTATATCAAGAAATGCAAGTTGATGATCTTTTTCTTCCTCACATGTCAGACTGATGTGATCTTGTACGGTATTAAGCCTTTTTAATAACCTCTTGGCATCCTCATCTGTGTCACATATTACAAGGATATCATCCACATACCTTCTATAGAGTGTGACATTGGTGATTAGATCTTGAGCCATTAGTTCAGTATGTGACATATATACATCAACTAATAACGGTCCTAATGGACTCCCCATGGCTACACCATCAATTTGCCGAAAGTGTTCACCTTTGAAAGTGAAATGAACCTTATCAGTACATAATAAAAGAAGTTCTTTCAAATAAGTTGAAGGAATAGGGAAAGAAGGATAAAACAAACAATGTGAGCGAAGAAATATTTCTTTTCAATTAGTTCCTCATCAATGGCTCTACACTAATATAGCATTTTCAAACGTAAAATTACATACCAATCTAGTGGAGAGAGTTGTTCAGTGAAAGGTTATCAATCTCAAAGTTTCAAGAAGGTGATAATTGATCAGGTCATACACAATCGCTTGGTTGGAGAGCTCGAGAAAAAACTCCGAGGTCCTCATGTTGTACTTTTGGCTTTCCGAAGAATTATCGCTAAGCCGAAAAGGAACTGTAAATTCAACCCTAAGCAAAAGCGTCCAAGGAGTAGAACGTTGACGGCTGTTCATGAAGCCATTCTGAAGGACCTTGTATATCCAGCAGAAATAGTTGGGAAGCGCATACAAGTTCGATGTGATGGTAGCACACTGATCAAATGTCACTTAGACGTCGCACAAAGGAACTACATTGAGCACAAGTTGAAAACAATTACAGGATTATACAAGAAGCTGACAGGCAAGGATGTCCAGATAGAGTTTCCAGACTGGGTTTTATGATTTCATGTAATATATGCTTGAACGTGGAAAAAAAAAACCTTTCACTGAACAACTCTCACCACTAGATTGATATGTAATTTTACGTTTGAAAATGCTATATTAGTGTAGAGCCATTGATGAGGAACTAATTGAAAAGAAATATTTCTTCGCTCACATTGTTTGTTTTACTAAATGTGTAAATGGGAATTTTTGCATTAAAGAAGGATAATTCGAAGAGGCATATTTGTAAACAGAGAGTTAACATCAAAAGAATACATTTTCTTATTTTTAATATTTAAATCAGTAAGATAATCAACAAGTTCAAACGTATCTTTCAGTGAATACTTACATAAATCATTACGAATCAGGTTCAGTGTCATAACCTTTTCATATTCACTATATTTGACCTTTAATTTTCATATATAAATTGACTTGACAAGTAAATTTGTGATCAGATTATTCGAAATGTATTGCGCAAATACACATCACATTTTTCAGATAATCTTCGTCTTCTAACAGCGTTATCGAAACAATAGGATGTGATGTAATCATTGATGCAGAGTTTAGGTTTTATTTGATTTTCCTATTTTCTCTTTTTTTTTTGTACACTAATAAATGGTGATCAAAGTATGAATATAAAATTAGTCATTTTTGATCAACAGTCGTGTTGATCGAAAATATAAACTTAGCTTACTTCTAATTCTTTGTACAATTCTTCTCTAGCTTTAAACTTCAACACTTTGATTTCTTCCAATTTATCAACAAAATTTTCACGTATACCAGCAAACCTTGATAAGAGTTGATGATGTCTAAGAAAAGAAAAAACAAAACAAACAGAACAGCTAAAAATTATAAGAATAAATTAGTGTGTACTGCTCTGGATAACTTTATAAAGGGAAGAATAAAAATGAATCAGTATGAAGTTATGGTGTTATTGATCTGAATTTTCAACTAACAGATCATATTTCAAGTTGTTATTCATCGAAGACTGACATCAGTTGGAGGAACAAAGGAAACCTGGGAGCACTGGATAGCTGTTTCGTCCTAGTATGGGACTCCTCAGCAGTGCGCACCCACGACCCCAACAGCAGGGATCGAACCCACGACCTTCAGGTTCCGCGGCCAGCACGTTACCATCGAGCCACTGGGTCAGAATCCAATGCTCCATATTTCCAACTTCTGTTAGCTTACGATATAGCGCAAACCGCCAAATATGGAGCATTGGATTCTGACCCAGTGGCTCGATGGTAACGTGCTGGCTGCGGAACCTGAAGGTCGTGGGTTCGATCCCTGCTGGTGTGGGGTCGTGGGTGCGCACTGCTGAGAAGTCCCATACTAGGACGAAACGGCTGTCCAGTGCTCCCAGGTTTCCATTGTTCCTCCAACTGATGTCAGTCTTCGATGAATAACAACTTGAAATATTTCCAAATCTGCACAACTCCCTAAAAATTTAACAGATCATAGTATTGAACATTCATTTCATACATGAAGGTTTCAGCAGTCAGATAGTATCACTATCTCTTACGCATATATGTGGCTGATCACCTATTCTACGAACATGCAGATAACTACTGAATAGATTTCAATTTCACAGCGTGGAACTTAATTTTCGATACAAACTACAGCTGATTTTAAATATTCCACTTCTATGATTATTTTAAAGAATACACAATGTCAGTTTCTACTTAGTAAACACTAGGAATATTACGGAGCCTTGTACTTAGCACTCATTTCTTCATGGAATACATTATTATCCAGTAGGTTTTTGACATGACACAACCACTTGGTGCATAAATAATAATCATAATAATTTCCCGAGGTCTTTGTTTAGAAGTGTAGATTAGTAGATTGCATCCATAAACCAGCAGTCGGAAGTAAACAGTCCTAGAAAACGCTAGAATACCACATCAGCTGGCTTGCTGTAACCAATACTTACACAAGTAACAGAGAAAATATACAAACTTATAGTTCGCAAACTTTAACTATAACAAAGCATATAGTATTTTTTGAATAAGATACCAAAGTAAAGTTTACACAGAACTATCACAGTATCAATTAACTAGTAAATTACATAAAAGGAAATAAAATTAAAAGGTGGAAACAGACACGTAAGGCAATTCTGGTAGTATTTCCATGAAAAATCTCAATAAAGACGTCTAACATGTGAAACAGTTTTATAAGTAAGATGATAGGTATGCGTATCTCAGTTACCTTTTTCATTAGAGACACCAACATTTTGATGTGTATACAACCACCGTAACACGCTGTCATTTAAAATGATGTTAGGTGTAAGGTTAGAGTTCCAGTCGGAAATACCTACATCAGCTAGTGTACAGATGAATATATCTGATAAAACCTGAATGCAATATCAGTGCTATGCAATACAAAAAGCACAACAAAGGTATTCTAATTAAAAGGATTATAGAACTGTGCTGAAAGCTACTAATAAGGATGCATATAAGTAGTCTTCAGTTGGTTGGGGGCAATCGGCAGGAACCGCTGCTCGACCTAGGTTTCGTGCCTGTTGGCAATCTTCAGCAAGGCGTATCTGCAACCCCGATGAAACTGATGTTCCGCCTGACATCCTAACCCCCACTACCCACTCTTGTAGTCTACCGCTTTACCACTGAGCTAACTGGGCCGCGACTGACCACCTGTAGATCTGGGTTGCATGTATTGATTAATCACATGAGGGCAACCAATTCCATGTTGCCTAGTCCTGAATGCACGCCGAATCCTACCGATGATATTTGTAATATGGCCACCGAGCTAGGAGGCTCAGCATCTCGGTGCACATAAGTAGATGTTAGTTGGTTGGAAGCAATTGGCAGGAAACGCTGCTCAACATAGGTTTCTGCTTGTTGGCACTCGTCAGCAAGGCGTATCTGCAACCTCGACGGAATTGATTTCCTGCTTGAGATTCAAACCCAATAAGATTCGGTCTGCATTCAGGACTAGACAACATGAAACTGGTTGCTCTCCCGTGACCAATCAATATGTATATAAGTAGTATACACAGAAATGACCGAAGCAATAACTCCTGAATGTTAAGGAATCGGACAAAAAGACCACACAATATTGGACAGTGCAGAATGAGATGCAGAACAAGAGATTATTTATAAATGGATACAATATTGTTAGGTTTAGTACTTTTACTACCTTACTAAATGTGATTTCTCAATAAACAATATTAGTTGGAAGTTGACAATGTGGAAATCCTGGACAGAGGAAACACAAAGAATATCAGAGAATTCCTAGAAGCTTGGCATTCAGGTTAGTCAGCAGTCAACAGATGTATAGACATAGACCCAATCTATAAACCAATGAGAAAAATGACACATGACAGAAATGTCAGAGGTCAAACAGAGGGACAGCTAACAGGAAAATCTATACAGTCAATGAAATAACCAATCACAAACCACTTCATCAGAGCAAGCAACTTAATCACTCACTCACGGAGAGATATTGACAACTCACTTCATACTACAGTCAGTGCTGGTGATGTCGTCTAGAAAGACGATAAAAGCTTCACGATTAAGCCATCAAGCTCAGAGAACACAATACAACCAAGATCATCCACCTGAGCTACAAATATTCTACACCATTTCAAGAACAGAGATAACCTGAAAACATATACATCTGGCGAAAGGTACAATTAAAATGAAAACGTAAAGACAAACCAAACTTTGCGTGTTGAACATACATTTTCATTTCACCTTCAAATAATCATCGCCGTGTATCAATCATACCAGTCAGTTAAACTACACTTATCTTAGATATTCTCACAGCAACAACTATATACTTTTAAGGTAGTATTCATTACCGACTGATATCAGTTGAAGAACCACTGGAAACTTGGGAGCAATGGACGGCTGTTTCGTCCTAGTGTGGGACTCCTCAGCAGTAAACACTATAACGAAACAGCTGTTGTCCAGTACTCTAAGGTTTCCAATGGTTTTTCAAGTGACATCAGTCCATGATGAATCCCTACTGAAACTTTGATGGAAGAGAATTTATGTATTTCGCAATATTTTTCCTGTTATATAGCAATAAATGGATATAATAATTAGTCAATTAGTTCAGGGGTTAAATTGATGATTATTTCTTGAAAATTTAATTTAAACTGAATACATAATATCAATGCAAAGTAATCCTTATTAACATGTTCAACATATGTATTATGAATTAATGAGCACATCTTCATTACGATCAATCTAATGATCAACCATGAATAAAATTATTGACAAGAGACAGTTGTTCAATGTTTATTCCATCATGAATTCCAACCTAAAAACAATTAACAAAACCTCCAGATAGAATTAATCTGACTAACTTTGAGAGGTGATTCCTGAAGTTCCAATGAGAAGTCGTGATTGATGGGGCTAGCCAAGTTGAACATGAGGACAGTTACTCAACGATGACATTGGATGTAAGTCACGATATATCATGAACTGAAAGAAGTAGGAAATATGAACCTAGTGGCTCAATGGTAATGTGCTGGTCACGGAATCTGAACGTCGTGGGTTTGATCCGTGGTGAGGGTCATGGGGGCGCACTGTTAAGGAGTCCCATGTTCAAACAAAACAGCTATCCAGTGATCTCAGGTTTCCAATGTCCGTCCAAGTGACGTCAATCCATGATGAATTCTAACCTAAATTTTAAATGTACTTAACCTCACGAGACAATTGTCCAACCATAGGATTATTTCGCTACATTTTATTAATAGTGTGGTGTGGCTACTTATAAGAATGCATATAGGTAGTATATACATATATAGGCAACAAGATCGAAGGTGACAACGTTGGATTGGAGAGAAATCAAGCGAAAAAAAATATAAAAATATCGGATGAAAATAGAAGCCATAATCGAAAAAAATTATTTATAAATCGTTAACTAACTGTTAGGTATAAGAATTTTACTGCTATCGATGGTATTTACCTCAATAAACGATTTCAACTGTATGTTAGACTTCTTCAATAGTGAAAAAAAAACAATACAAAAATTACCGCCAAAACCCAACACTTACAATTCTATATTGAATGGTTCAAAAGTTTCCTGTAGTTGGCTTAAATTACAACATTCTTGTACTAGTAGATCTGGTTGTAGAAAGTAATCAGGATCGTCTTCAATAGTTTTCAATAAATTTTCACCATATTTATTAAATGCTTGAGATAAAGTATCTTCAAGAGCTAGAAATGTATTTGTAAAATCAGCTCCAGTTTTCTCCATTGTATCAAGTAAATCATGAACAATTTCACTGTCTATTTCTTCCTTGGAATGAAGTAAACCTAACTAAAATGAAGCAGTAACATGATATTTTATAGTATACCTTAGAACAATCATGCAAGTAGAATAGGTGATAATACACTCGTTGTTAAACTTGACGATCCTGTGAAGTTACGCGTCTGAGGAGTCGTAGACAAGGTCGAAACGATTGTTCTTTAAGTACTGCTTGACTATTCAATGGTTTTCTAGACAATATCAACGCTCATAATGAGAACCAAAGTGGAATCAATCAACTCCCAATAAGCTACAACACCATCAACATCAATTTAAGAAAGAATTGGGCTAAGAGAATTTCTACTATAGTGGTTTAGTAGCTTGTCTTGATGAATTCAAAAGCAATTCTTTTACAATTTCAATAGTCGGTTATGATGATACTGTCTAGGCTGAAAATCAAAGCTTTACAATTTTGAACCACTTAGCCCAAAAAACTCAATGCCAAAAACATACATACACTATCGGAAAATGTTAGACCCTGAGTAAACGGACTATAAATCTACAGACGGAAACGTTCCTTTGAACATGTGTAACTGTTATTGTCAGTCAATTGAGTAAGAGTTGCTTTTTTCAATGAAAACTCTATCAAAAGTATAGATGAGCAGTAGTAAATTATACATTTTTGAAAAATGACAATAAAGAACGTGGAATTCAAGAATAATTATTCTCTTTATTTATTGACAATCAGTTCAGATTAGCTGGTTTAAATAATTCTGTTCTAGCCAAGCACACACCACTGATAAAAAAAGTCCAGACACAGATGAGTAAAACCGTTATCTTTATATTCTTTTATGACTACATAGATAAAACTCAAGTGATTGAAAACAATACTATGCTAATATTAATGATAATGGTAATTGACAACTACACATTACTGAAACTGGTGAAAACAAACTATAGTAAGTGATTTTCATCGGTATTGAAAGTTCAAATACCACTAGTTAAAAGTGTTCACCCATTTTATACCGTAATAAAATGAAGTGGTCGATGAAATTAGGTTTCATGCCTAATAATCAATCAGCTAGGTGAGACCAAGTATAGATGAATGTATTCAACTTTGAACTACATTTTTGTCTGAGAACTCACTGATTTAGTTGGATAGCCGTTTAAACCTCTGTACCATGCAGTAAGTTCTCAAAACACATTAGAAGTCTAGTCCAACCGTCACAGACCAAGATGAATTGGTTATATTTGCACACTTCAGATCAATTAAACGGTCTCTGTGCAGAACACCGATATCTGAGAAGTTGACGCCATTTTTAACCAGATATCTATGTTCTTTACGACTAATTAGGGAAGCAGTAATGCAGAGACTGAAAGTCATCATTCTACCTGTCATTAAATCAAAATTTAAATTCGCCATGTGGACGAAACTTTTGTCATCATTAAAAATATGAGATAGAAAACACTCACAATTCGATCAACAACGTTTCCAATGACATCAAATTCACAATAGAGGTGGAGTCAAACAAACAACTATCATTCCACGATGTTTTAGTCAGTAGGACAAATGCCAGAAAGCGGGAAACCCAGATGTACAGAAAGTCAATACACACTGATGAAATCCTCAACTACAGTAGCAACAACATACAAAATTACTTGCATGCAGACACTCTATTCAACAAAGCAAGAACACACTGCACTGCAGTACAACAACTTCACGGAGAAAATTACTTGATGTCCGTCCTCAAGAAAAACGGCTACCCACGAAACTTTATCAAAACATACCTATCCCGTACATCAACAACTACAAAGTCATACACAGAAACCAACAAACGTATCAACCTACCATACATAAAGAATATATCAGAAATCACGACGAGATTACTCAGACCAATTGAAATTGGTATAGCTTATAAGACGATCGATTCCTGTCAAACCATATTATGCAGATGTACAGACTAATTATATCTCGTAGCGATTATACGCCTTTTGGGAATGACATCAACAAAGTCTTTCAGAGATCAGACAGCGAAATAAGATGTGAGAGTACTGGCAGGATGTTTCACAGTACACTTAGATTTATCAGCAGTAAACACCCACGGTATCCAACGATATCCAATTCGAAACCTTCAGATAACAAAGTTAGGTAGTTCGTCCCTTCTCCTATACAAACAGACAGAGGAAAGCATGATTACTGCGTAGCAGTCCAAGATACCATACTTCATGTCAGCATACCAAACAAAGAGTACTAAGAAGATAGTAGAATAAAGACAGCAGTAAAAAGTGGTAGGAAGTATTAAAAGGAGAGGAAGTAGGTAGGAAAAAAAAATACTAAATCCAGTATAACGAATAAGATATAAATATATCTACGCCAGTGAGATCGATTCTGAACCGTGTCGCACAGAGTCTTCAACCACAGTTTTCTTTCCATATGAGGAACCTAACCTGCAAGTCTATATCTCCCTACACGGCTCACACTGACAGTCTGAGATTTCATACAAGAATGTCATTTTTTAATCTGACCGCCCCTAACCACTTTCCAGCCTGAACCTATTTCAGTTAACATCAAGCAGACAAGGCAGACTAAGACTAGGTATGTGTAAAGCATGTCTCAGTCATCTAAGTCGACTTACTCCTTTGCCCTAAAACACCATACATAACTTCTGTATTACTGACATAGTGATACGAAAACACACAGCCTACGCTACAAAAGTAATGGTGGTTAAACGACCGAAGTCTTATCATATCTTCCACCTTGAATGACAATGCTTCACAATATTAGAGAAGAATAGAGCAAACTACAATTCACTCGACTCTACATAGACAGTCGGATACCACCGTGTATGTTGGCGAAAGCCAAGTCAGCTTTTGTTTTCCTGCAGAGATTTCATCGGTCACAACCCGTCAAACTAGGGCATATCTGACTTTCCAGCTAAGTGCACTCAGCCATTTCATTCCCTATTGTTAGACAGGATACCACTGAAGACTAGTCCTGGAGCACCAATTTGCATTTGGGTGGCGAGAAACGCATCCCAAACATTCTCAAATTGCCACTCAAGGTGGCCATAAGACTCTAAATCTAGTCAGGGTCTTCACCTTACAGGGTTATGCCATTTTTGTGCTCTAGATCTACTGAAGATTGTCCTGCGACAAAATCAATCCACGTGAAGTCAGATGATGAGAGGGAGACTTGCATAAATAAGTCTATGATGAAGTTGAATAAGAATGAACAGAGTGGATATTCTTAATGGATGTCACTCGACGAACACAACTCACCTGATAATTCATTATGCGCCCTAACAGTGATCCATTTGCCCGGCATTTCTTTCAGTAGGAGACATGTAACATGAGACCTGTCGATCAACGAAATTGAATGCCACCTTCAGGTCTAGAAATACAGACAGTGTCAAGTTTCGGTAAGTGTGCCTATGTTTCAGAACCTTGTGGAGAATGAATATCTGATCGGTTGATCCACGATCAGGTCTGAAAACTGTTTAGTTTTCTTGGGTTTGCTGTTCCTGTGTTCCATTCAGACATCCGATAGTTGTAGAACCTAGGATCTTAGACATTATACTCGTTGGACTGATCCTAACATAATTATTAAAACGGGATTTTTCGCCTTTCTTTAAGACTGGAACAATCAATGATTGAGACAATTCTACTATAACCTGAGATATGTAGAATATTTACAATAAAATAAAGTAAACAATAAATTGTTGCTATAATAGTTATTTTGATCTATGTCACCAATACCCACTGCCATAAAAAAAACTCTACACGTAACTATAAAATACAGATCGATGATCCCATTAAAGAATAAAATTAAGCGTCAATTTGACTTGATTGATGTTTTTCCACCTCCAATTATATAAACTAGTGAATAATGCGCGTTGGGTTACCTTGTAGCTGATGGTACACCACCACACATCAACTAGATCACTTGGTACACATGTACAAACTGATAAACCCCTTGCTGAATCATGCCACTTAATTGGACCGAATAACTGTTTACTAGTTGGCTTCAGGTAAGTGAAATAGATCTCTCAAACTGTCAGGCTATACGTTCGAAAACTGTTAGTTATCTCATATGATAATAATACTGAGTGGACAAAATACGACTTCTATTACAACGGAACGAATACTAGCCATTCAGAATATGTCATGGATAACTTGAAGTAAAGTATATCCATCCATATGCTTACCTTTTTACGCATTCTCTCTAGGTAAACCTTGTTAAAACACGGCATATATACACTATTTAATACACTGGTAAATCGTGTTTGAAGTTCTTCTTTCCTCTCCTTCTTCGATTCATCAAATGTTGTCTTCTGTTGATCAATTAATGCTTGAATTAAACACTCGGCTAGACGAGCACAATTCCATGCACATATACTTGGTTGTTGTGCATATGAATATCGTCCATCCGGATCAGATGTATTTGATATATGATCCCAAGTAAATTGATCAATAAAACCGAATGGTCCATAGTCAATTGTTAAACCGATAATGCTCATATTATCTGTATTTAGTACACTGGAATAAACAGACGAAAAAAAGGGGAATAACAACATTCAACTAATCGTTACGTTAGCAGTAAATACATAGAAGGTAGTAAGAGGAAAAATTAATCAGCCACCTTTTGCACATCCCTACAGTAGGCAATAAGTCACACCTATTGTGTGGTGGCTACTGATACTATGTGGCTCCCTAAACCTTAGTAGGTGAAGTGGGGTTCGAACCCATGACTAACTGGTCAGAAGTCAATCTCGTAAAATATTAGACCCCGGCTCCAGTAAAAGGTAGTAAGTGGTGATAGCAAACGACAGCTAGTCTGAAAATCGATCAATGAGACTTCTCTTTTTGTGTAAACAATCCCCAATTCCGATAAATCTTGAGTGTTTGCTTTTTGTCTTATACATGCCTAAAAATGACCCATTAAATATTTCATTCTATACAAGTCAAAAATGTCAGAAACCGAAAATGTTGTGAACCAAATAATCCATATTTCCACTGTAAATAGCCCTAGACTTCGTGTTGTTAGTGTCAGTCGTTAGGATTAAGAATATGTAGATAAGTTAAATCCTATAGAAAACTTCGACAGATCATGTGTGTAGGGCAAACTCCGTATTCTAAGCTACTGTCGGCAGATGTTTCGGTATCAACATGAATGTCACTATCAAAAAACTTCACATATTTCTCACAATTGTTTATTAGTTGAGCTTCGTATAAGTTAGATTTGACTAAACCAGGTGTAAAGGAAGAAAGTAATGGATTCACAACAACTAACATAGTAATAAATAACATAACTCAGCCAAGTACATGTTTATTTACTAGGTTACGAGCCACACTTTTTGTATGATGGTTAACAATAAGTACCACCCGGTTGCCCAGGTCAAAGTTGGTGCAGTGGGGAAAGAACCAGGACATGTTGCTTGAAGGTTTAATCCCTAACCCTAACCAGCCACATTCCCACTTATTCATACAACCATCTCCAATGTAAGGAGAATAGAAGAATGATGCGAATAGAATGGAGATAAAAAAAGGTTAGGCAGAAAGTAAAAATCAATTGGGAAAAAAAAATCAGTTCCTAACAAACTATTACTTTTTTTACATGAAATAAATAAACTAATGTGGAATTATGTTTTATCACAGTGCTGAAGATTTACGCCTACAGTAAACAGCAGGGATGCTTTCATAAAAAGCTGAGCTTCAAAAGCTTGAATATTGCCAAAGAACAGCATATTTTAAGGTCATAATTATTTGGATAAGGCATACATCATTATTAGTATGAGTATTAATTAAACACTGGAGTCCCAGTGGCATTTGAAGAGATCGGTCCCGGGTTCAAGTTTTTGTGGGAATAACATCCCTCACTGAAAGGCAGATACGTCCAGCTAACGACTCCCAAATTGGATGAAACACATATCCTAATTCCCACTGCCATCCACCAAGTACACTAAAACATAATCAATATTTGGGCAGTATCAAGCTATCCGAACATAGAAGCCTAGTATAATAACGGGAAATTACAAGTATCAATAAAAGCAAATTGATAACAATGAAGGCATCTAGAAAGTGCTCCATAGGAAGTGAAAATAACAATCTGAAGACATAAAGGAAGGGGAAAACACACAAAAACGAAATATAAAGATCTTTGTAGATTATGCAGAACAACAATAATTCGAGGGAACAACTGTTTTCAGTAACATCCTCTTCAGGTTCTATAGTCTGTCTCACATTGCCCATTGTATTTTACTTATTCTCATGGATTTATAAGTGTCGAGTCTGAAGACGAAGTTATTGAGAAAAACTGTTTGCTCAAGTTATTCTTATTCTGAAAAACAGTAAAGTTAGGACAGGAGAAGCCCTCAAACAAGATACTTTTCATACATTTTAATGTTTATGTTACTGTTCAGATAAAAAGATAGAAGAAAACAGTAATATGAGTTCGACAGACTTAAATTCAATGCTACATCTACAACCAGAGGATCACACCATCTTTAAGATTCTATTCGGATGGGGATGTTGGAATGTTGTATCACAGGCTAAAACATACATGTATAACACCTGGTTAGATACAGTTTTTTCCCCATAGAATTCAAATTTCTGCAAAGAATTCATTCACATCAACAATTTGTAAATACTTCTATGCAAGATCCTACATACAATTATGTTTAGAATAAGATAAAACTTTGCATAAAATATCTCATTAGTTCATCACGTCATAATGTAATAGTAACTGATTGTTCAAGGTTAAAATGATCGACTAGAAGGGTGAATATAGATACAATATAGTGTGGTGTAGTCAAATGCTTAGTGTACATGTGAATGATAAAATTGAATAACTGGTTGCATTCGATTTATAACTTATCCATAAACCTGAGTAGGGATCAACAGAACTGCAAAGTTGATTGGATCAAATCTTCTATTGCACATTTTATCGTTTGATCAAATGAATCAAACAATGATATTGAAAACAAAACACAACGAGTAAAGAGTACAGGTTACAAGACATCTAATGACTTCTCAATAATGTATAAAAAGGTACCTTACCGTCTACCTTATCAATTTTCTTTTTTACTTAATACTATGAGTTTTCATGTTCAAATACACCTTCTGATGCACATGAATGCGCTTAATTCAAAGCCACAATTAAGTCTAAACCTATACATCTTACACTTATAGTCATACAAAGCTGTGATGTATTCGTCTAAACACCCTAATTCAAGCTAATGAACTAAATGTATGAATATATTTCAATCGACTCGGTTATCAAAGATCAGGTGATTTCATAGGCTTGAACGTATTAAGTGTAATTTACAAGCTTGTAAATAAAACTATGGGTGCTTATTGGTTTGTATTATTACTATTATTATTATGTGTCTCTCGGGTTCCTAGTGGAACATAGAGCTTCAGTAGCACGTCACCATTTCACTCTCTTCTCTGAAGTCTTCCCAACTGGCTCCATGACTGCTCACAAGCTTTCATTTCTGCCTCCGTGTCACCCTCGCCTGGGAAGCCCAACTCGTCCTTTCACTTTTGGATTCCACTTGACAACCTGGCCTCGCCTGGAGCGTGATGTCACCAAACGGTCTTCCTTCTCACTGTGTTTTCAATCCAATCCAATTCATCTCCACTTTCTCCTGCATATTTGTTGGACGATGGGTTCTTGCTTCATTGTCAGCCAACCAGAGTTCCTTGTTGCTTATTCTTATTATTCTGGCCATGTGACCTTAAGTATGAAGCGAGCGTAGGCAGTAGCTATTCATGTGATGTATGTCTACAGTTTTTTGGAAATTTTGTTCTTAATACGCCGAGTCTCTGAACCATTACATGGAAACACTGACTTACCTGACATTAGTGTTGAAAATCTGGATCTTGTTCTTTATGCTATCTTTCTGATCCTGGCTTTGACATCCTCATCTGTGCCGCTCCCTCTGCCAGTAGTTGAGACGATGCTGACCTGCATAGGTAGGTGAAAGAGACAACTTCCTTTAGATTTCTCTCGTTGATGGTGATTGGTTGGGTATCTTCATCACCTCTCTCTTCTCCACATTCACCTAAAGGAAGTCCCGTCTTTCTTCTCTCTCTCGCCTCATCTGTCAACTTGTTGGTTTTTGTCTGTAGATCTTCAAATTCGTGAGACAAGACATTGGACATAAATCATCATCGGCGAAATCCAAACCTTCTAGAGTCTTTTCATCAGTCCAGACAGCGTATGCCCTTCTTCTCGCTCCTCACAATTTGTTGCATGGTCCAGTCCAGTGGACCACAACCAGGAAAATCATCGGTGATAGTAGGCCGCAGCCTTGTCTAACTCCCGTCTTCACTCCAAAGGTGTCACTGAACCTTCCATTGTGAAACACTCCGCATTTGGCGTCTTCTTCTAGCTGTTGAATGAGGTTGATAAAGGTTTGTGGCACTAAGACCGTAGTGTTGAAGCAGCATCTGCTAAATTACTTCTACGGCGACGCTGCCGAAGGCCTTTTCAAAATCGATGAAGTTGAGGTAGAGCGTTGACTGCCATTCTATGCTCTGCTCTATGGTGATGCGCAGCGTAGCGTTGCAATTTCATCCCCACATGATTTGTTTTCCCTGAAGCCAACCTGTTCCGGTCGTAATTTTGTATTGCAATTCTGTATTATGAAATGACTTGAAAACTATAAAAATTAACTCAATAAGCTGGTGCTGATTCGGGTACTCAGCTATGAGCCTTACCATATTTGTGTTAGGAGTGAAGATATTACTCAACTGCCCAAGATGAAAGAGACGGACAAACAGAATCAACATAGAACCTCGAATACCACTGTTATCGGCTAAAGTGGCCACACTTCACAGAAGTACACAATAAACAGATAGATACAAAAACGCTGATATCGAAACAGAAGTTGTTTAAGAGGATAAACAATCTGAAGGTAATGGTTAGTGTAAATAGTCAAGCTTTAGAAAACTTTAAAGAGTGAATACATCCGCATCACTGTGACCGATTTTCAGCCGTGCCACCATGAGTCCTCAACCACTGAATTCATATCATCTTGGGGATCCAAGCCAGGCAGTCTACATCTCACCACACGGCTAAGATTAAAAGTCTGGGATTTGATGCCCTGGTATCGTCTCTTGGTTTGACCACCCTCAACCCTCTTCTAACCTAATCCAACTTCCCCTAGCATGCCAAGTCAATGTAGGTGGACTGCAGCGCAGTATACTTGTCCTTTGATAGGTAGTCGGGTATCTCGCCAGTCGGCGCCGCAGATGACGTAATTTGGCAAATCCCAAACGGGCCTTTTGCACCCGAGTTAAGATTTCTCTACTAATCACCTGGTTCAGGTTCATACATTTCACCAAGTAAATGAATTGGTTGACACACTTCATCACTTCACTCCTTATCATTAAACTGAGAGTGGTTAGAGACCAGTCCTAAAGTATCATCTTATATTTCATGATAGGTGAGACGTTTGAAAGCTTAACATACTCAGGTTTTCGCTCAACGCGTTTAGATGACCTTGTATTTTGCCAGCGTCTTCATCTAGCAGGACAATATCGTCTGAATACTCCAAGTTGACTAGATGACCTCCAGAGAGTAGGTCAATCCCTCTGAAGCCAGATGTATATAGGGTTGTGTTCATTAGTACGTCAATGACGAAGTTAAATTGGAACGGTGACAGTGAGCAGCCTTGGTGAACACCACAATTTTTCGTCAACTGACTTGATAACTTTCCATAAACCCTTTCGTCGCTGGGTGAGTTCGAGTATAGAGCTTTGATTAGCGTTATGTAATTGCTCCATACTCCCTTCAAAATCAGACACTGTCACAGTAACTCACAGTCGATAATCAGTCAAATGCCGCCTTCAGGTCAAGAAATATGGCACATGTCGGCCACCGGTTGGTATATCTATGTTCCAGAACCTGTCGTAAGGTGAAAACAAGATCGATGCAACCTCGTTCAGGTTTGAAACCTGCTTGGCTTTCCTTAGTTTGCTGTTCTCGAGCTCCAGTTATGGATTGGATAACTATGGACCTTAGGATATTGGACAGTGCCTAAGGTGACCCAGATTAGTGTATGCCAATCTGACTTTTGATATACGGTTGGAAATCGTATCTGTCAGACCATCGTCACTCGTACAACTACCAGAATATACAAACATGTCGTCAACACTCAAGCTTTTACAATCAAGTATGAGTGCAGATAAAGGCTTATGCAAATTTTATAAACACAGTCTGCACTTTGACAGTGGAAAGCATGTACCATACTTATCAAAATTGATCAGCAAGTGATTAAGTGCGAATTGATTTGCTGACAAGTTGTTGTACAGCACGACGATGCTGTTTGGATTCTCCTAAGGTCAAAAGATCTTTCTTCTGGTAACAGATCTATAGTGCCTCAACCCCCGGCTTAATTTACCTTGCTTGGTCAAGACATAAAATATATGTAACTTAAATACCACATGCAGATTCGTGCAGTAGATAGTTAGACAAAGGTCATTGTTCAATAACTTTTTTACCAAAGTTTTGATACCCGGATGATGGAGAATATTTGTAGTTTCAGGAGGATAGTTTTAAAGACGTCGTGTTCTCTGAGCTGGATTGTTTAATCTTGGAGCTTTCGTTGTCATCCAAGGCAACATCATAAGCACAAACTTTCGGGAGAAATGACCCATAAGGTTTTCTTCGCAATTTGTCTAGTAGCTTGTCCTGATGGCCATGTGTGTGATCGGTTGTTTTTGCCAAGGTCTTATCACTGTCTCCATGTTTATTCTCATTGGTTGTCCTGATGACCTGAAATTACACCTTATTATTGTTTCTTATTGGTTGACAGATTGCGTCAATGTCCTGAATACTAAGCTTCGAAAAATTCTCTGACGTTCTTTGTATTTCCTCTATCCAGGATTTCCAACTTTTCCCAGTCAAATTCATGTCCACAGTTTTCTGTATGCAGTGATATGAGCGAAGATTTGATATGACGCTTCATTTACTAGTTGGTGTTTATATAGGCGGATACGAAGAGGGCGTCTACTCTGTCCGTTGTAGTGTTTTTCGCAGTTTATTTTTTAGGTAATGTTCAGTTTGCCTTCTTTCGCTGTGGCATCTTTTGGCCTGCATAACAGGGACTGAAAAGGTTTTGTGGGTCTGTAGGACACAGTGATTCCAAAAGACTTCAACAATCTAGTCGTGATCTCTCGGAGACGTTCTTTATATGAGGTAAGACAATCCGTCTGTTAGTTTTCGAGGTTGACTTCTTGGTTGATGACGAATTACGTAAACATCTTTTGATGAAATTGTATGCATAGTCATTCTTCGGGAAAACAGTCATCAAACAGTTTTCTTTTTTTTCCCGCAAGGTTGTTCTACTACATTGTGTCTTCGCTATTTTAAACAATGTTCTCATATATCTGATTTTGTGTGCTGTTGAGTTGTTACCATTGTAACTGACGACATGATCCGTATGAACGGATTTTCTATATACTCTAGTTTCCGATTTCCTCGAATCCATTCTGTTCATCAGAATATCTTAAAATGCACCTTTGTTATTTCATTCCTCTTCAGTTGTGAACTTGATGTCGTCGAAAATGTTGTCGATTAATTTGTAAGCGTTTTTCACTTGGTTCCTTTTAATGATGACAAATTTTTCATCTACATATCGGACCCAAAGTTCCTGTTCGATCAACGGCAATACCACAGTTTCTAATTCTTGCTATACTCCTTTTGTAATTAGTCCCGAGATAGGCGATCCAATTGATGTTCCTTTTGTCTGTTAGTAGAGTTTGCCGTTCAACTGAAAAATATGTTGTAAGGTATAAATGAATTTATTTATTTCACTAAACTTGGAGATTGTAGTTGTATGTTCCAAGAAGTGTGTATCATTGGCGAGAACAGTTCTTGTATCTTTAGCCAGTTTAGGTTCACTTAAGACGTACAGAGCTGTAACATCAAAAAACACCACCAATTCATCATTATCAAAATGAATATGCTTGATTTTTTCCAAAAATTGTGTCGAATAGTTGGTAAAGTGGTCGCATGATTCTACCAGACGTTTTAAGTTTCTGAAGACTTCCTTTGAAAGATTGTACGCTGGGATTTATGGAAGTGAAACAACTGGTCATAGTCGAATGTTTGGTTGATGTACTTTTGGTCTACCATAAACATGTGGCAGAACAGATCCATTCATTCTCCACTTCTCTTGTTTTGTTATTTGTCCCGTTGTGATGAATGTATTCAAGGTCTTGGTGGTGTGAGAGTCAAACTTTTGAATAGGATTTATCTCAACTGGTTGGTATACATTTCGGTCCACGAATAAATCTTCCGCTTTTTTAATGTAGTTGTGTTTATTCATGACTACTGTGATTCCTGATCTGTCAGCTGAAATCATAGCGTTCTTTTTATTCTTCGATTTCTGAAGAGTTCTCTGTTCACTGGTTAGTTGAGTGCAGGCCTGTCAAAAACAACTAACTACACACAATCCCAACCTTATTGCTCACTCCTTTCTTAAGTTTGTGCCGTTTATATTATCTGGAATGACAACGAAAGCTGAAAGATTAAATAATCCAGCTAAGAGAACACAACCCCGTTAAAGTTGGGTACACGGAGCCTGGTTTGAACCCGGGGACCACTGGTTGGGGACTGGACATCTAGACTGATGAGCCACAGTCTCCTTCTTCATCAAACGATGACGTTGATAATTGAGGAACGGAAAAGTTAATTAGTTAATGTGAGGTGATGAATTCCTGTGGAGGTTAAACTAAAGGAATTAGCAGAGAAACATCAAAATAAAACCTTTCACAGCTAAACTTGACAACAGTACATGGAGGGGAAAGGTGCAGGAAAAAATTAACAAACAGTTTTTTAAAAGATGCAGAATAAATGAATGAAGGTTAATAAGTCGTTCAAAGTTCTGACGACTAGACAGTAAGCCCTACCTTACTGTGTGACGGTTTGTAATACTACCCAGTTGTCAAGGTCAAAGTAGGAGTCAACTACAAAACACCGACAGTTATAAAATAAACACGCTTTTATAGTAATACATAAAATAATAAAAAATGCAATGCATAAATCTGCCTAATTAAAAATACACCATACTGAACTTTTACCCATGACAAAATCCGACAGTCTGCCAAAGAGCTACTAGATTAGCTGTACGTCTAACTACCTCCTCAAAGAATTCCAAGTAGCAACTGATCATATCATCTGAGTGTACATTTTTCTCCCAAATCTAATTTGAAGAGCAAAATAAAACAATATAAAAAGGAAGAAGAACTGAAAGAATATCCATTTTATGATAACATGACGAGAAATTTATCTTATCAACACATGGATTTCATTTATTTGGATCAAGTGAGAGAAATTCGATAGGTCGAAAATCATTTTTTCTAGTATAATCATACCAGTGTTATTGCGTGTATTACACCGTCGTTGATTGGACCGAATTGATCAATCTCTATTGGCATATGGGCTCCTCGATATTGCCTGCGTTCTAATTATATTAATGATGGATCGTGGCTAGTAGTGGAATCCAGGATGCGCATTTCGTCCTGGTTGGGACTCAGCTGGATATACCTGGCTCCCAGTGAGTGATGTTGTTCCCACCGGGGCTCGGACTCGGGAGCGATAGCTTCAAACTCCAGAGCGTTATCCACTACACCACCGAGCCACGATAGCCACTTCTTGTGCGACGGGTATAGTTTTAGTGTTATCGCTTATATTAAACCGTCGTTGATTGGACCGAATTGGGAGGCAGATACATCCAGCTGACAAGTCCCAAACAGGACGAAATGAGCATCCTGGATTCCACTGCTAGCCACGATCCATCATTAATATAATCATATCAACTTGAAAAAGATTGAAAATTAAAGAGAACTGAATAGTTGTTTCTATCTGTCACTAGCGTACCCTTTTATATCCCACATGGGATGGAACCGAAGTACTGTATTGATACTATCACTTGTAATCTTTCGGTCGTTGATTGAACCAAATTAGTCGACTGACAAGTCTCAAAGAGGATGAAAGCAGCGTCATGGATTCAACAGCTAGCCACGATCCATCCTCTCTATTACGTCTTGCGGGCTTTGAAAGTCTCAATTTAGAGCAAGTAAGAGGTTTAAAACTTCGCCAACTTTCACAGCATTCAGAGATGTTAAAATCCTCATTTAAGAATTCCATAGAAAAAACAGATTCATAATCTATTGAAGACTTAAAACTTAAGAGCTTGAAATTTGCTTAGGATACCTGATTGACTAAGAATACCCTGATGATATTGTTTTGTCACAAGAAAACGCTCACAGAATGCAGTGCCTTCTATTGGTAATAAGCGGAAATTCAAGTCTTCTTAGTTTGAATTTCAACACTATCAAATGTAAGATGATCGTAATCTAAGGATAGGAAGTGAAGTGATTGAATACGTTGACTACAACACTTACTTGAAAGGCCGAATAGGCTGATTGTTGACGAAATTCTAGCTTGAATTCAATAAGTCTGTTCGGCATTAGCCAACTTATCCCGACTGTGGAGCTGCGAACATTAATAAGCAGTTAAAACATGAGTAGTCTGAGCAATAGTCCTCTCTGTGTACAGTTGTGGGATATGACTGTCAAAGTGTCAACAACTACTCTTTAATTGTTATTCTTTCAGAGATTTTAACAGGTTTAAGGTTATACCAACAGTATATCCGCAGTTCATTGAAGTAACTGAATGCTTAAAAGTAATAAGAATGCCTTCGAAATCTGATAGCTATAGGATCTGACCTTAACAAAATATGAATCGTCAGTAATGACGTAACTATACGCAATTGCAATAACTGAAATCACTAACAAAAAGGTACTTACATGAGGATAAAATTGTTGTATTACGAAATTGGTGAGTTGTGATACAATCTCTTTGTTACCAACACTTGGTCCATAACGTCCAGTGATTACATCTTGAGGTTTCGATATTTCAAAAGAACCAAACCTTAAAAGGAAGAATGGTTAACAAAATAGTAGTTTGTGAAATAAAATATAGATATATTTTTGTTGAAGAATCACTGTTGAGTAAATGAGTAATGACGAGGTTAGAAGAATGGTACTAAACAAAGCAGGCAAATTTAAAGATGAAGTTGAGAATCTTCGCCGACTAAGACGACTTGGATATGTGTTGCGCACGTGAAATCACTACTGACCTCAAGGTAAGATGTTAGCCGAAGTAAGTTTGAGTTGTAAGAAGGATCAGGGTGCTCAAATAGACACTTCCCTCAAAACAGAACAGTCTCTGAAACAGCTTCAGTTCTTATAAGAATGGGAATATGCTACACCGATAGGAAATAACAAAACGTTAGTTGATTGGAGGCAATCGACAGGAAGCGTTAGAACTAGGTTCCATGTTTCCTGGGACTCGTCAGCAAGGTGTATCTGCAACCTCAAGGGAAGTGATTTCCTCTGTAACATTCAAACTTATGTCACTCAATATTGTAGTCAGTGGTGTTACAACTGAGCTATTCTAACCACGATTAACTTCCTGTAGGACTGGATTAAATAGATTGATTTGTCAGCTAAGAGCAAACAATTTCACGTTTTCCAGTCCTGATTGAATTCCGCGCTTTTTTTTCTAACCATCCAATATCATATGGAGTATATTACAAAGTTGAGTAACTATATTTCATTCACTGACTAACTAACTTCGAGGAATACTTACCTGATGGGTCAACCATGGTGAAGAATTACTAAATGATCATTCTATTAACAACTTGAATAGAAAAAAACTGTTTTAGTTTTTAAAACGAACAACTGATAAAGCAGCTTCACAAACCTAGGCAACCGTGTATACACAAAAGTGGAGTGATTCAAGCAGTCACACTATGCACAAGGACGAAAATAGGAAATACAACAAAGTTGAATGACAATAAAATCAAACGGAAAGAAGAATAGATCAAGGAAAATATTTGTAGCTCAGGATGAGGATGATAGTGGTCTGGTGTTCTCTAAAGTTTGATATTTTGTCGTGAACGTTTCATCACCAGGCTTGATGACACCCTCATTAAGAAGTGAAGCATATTCGAATGTTACACGAATGTTTAGATAGTGCTTTTCTTGATCTTGGATGTTGTCCAATTGTAAGTTGGGGAAGAATCCCTTTTACTCACTACACTCTGACCCCTTTGACCTTAAATTTCTTCCAGTCATATCATTAGATATTTTTTGTTGAAATGAAATTGTAGTGTTTGTTGTTGTCAAACTGTGCATTACTATTGATTTGATTTATAGGTTTGTGAAGATTTATTAATCGACTTCGGGCTGGCATTCATCATGGACTGACATTAGTTGAATGAACAATGGGGACCTGGGGGCACTGGACAGCTGTTTCATCATAGTAGGGGCCTCCTCGGCGGTGCGCACCCATGATCCCACCCCACCATGGATCGAACCCAGGACCTTCAGGTTCCGTGCCCGGCACGCTACCATTTAGCCACCGCGTCAGAATCCGATGGTCCATATTTCCTACTTCTTTCAGTTCACGATAGAGCGCGACCTCCATCTAATGCCGTCGTTGAGTAACTGTCCTTATATTAGACTATTGATTTGTCCGATCAACCTGCTCTTGGTTGGTAAATGACTTTTCTTCCTAAGTAGATTATAGATAAGGTATATATCCACGTATCTGTTGATTGACGTTTCGTTTGAATCCGATACTTCTAAAAATTCTTTGGCAGCATTGTGTTGGCCAGTTTAGCTATCGGATTGGTCAAAGGAATCATGAACACTAACTAACAGTAGTAACATGACGCGGTCTCCTTGGTTTCAATAAATGCAGACAATCACGATCACAAATTCGACGGGGAGAAAGAATATGATCCTGATTGTATGCATTCATTGAAACGAAAGAGGCCGAGCCATGTCGCTTTATTGCTAGTTGATGTTTATGAACTCTTTGCGAAATCCAACGTGTAAACTGGCTAACAATTTTTTCAAATGATTTTGTAGATTGTATTTATCCTGTCTTCTTCTTTCAATGAGTCCTATATAGAGATTTCGTTGATTTGTGTTCTACTCTGATTCCGAAAAGACGAAGCAACCGGTTGACTGTTTCTGAGACATCTTTGACATAGGTTAGTGTAACGCACTTATTAAGGCGACTGCTCTGATTTCTGTCCTGCTAATAAACACTTTTTTTGAGTGGATAATTATTGTCTCAGACCACTTTGTACGGGTATTTTTCTTCGGTTTTCCGTAGTGCTTCAGTGATGGCTCGTTAGAATGTTTGTACACAACATTTCTTATGAAGTGTAGAATGATTGTTGTTGCAGTTCAAAATTTAGTCAGTGTGTATAGCTTTCCTGTACATTTGAGTTTTTAAAGTCACGTCGTGTGTTCTGCTAATGAAGACATCTAAGAATGGAATTATGTTGTTGGGTTCTTTATCTTTTGTGAAGTAAATTCTCTAAAATGTTTAGCTGATAACCCTTGAACGTGTTTTATATTTCATCTTCTTTGAGAACTACGAATGTGTTGTCAACGTACCGAATCCAAATTTTTGGCTTGATAAGACGGATAAGAAGAAACCATAACGATGATAAAAACTTCTCTAGAATTTCGATAACAATAAGAAATGAAAACAATATATAAAGTTATAGAAAACCACTAAAAAGCGAAGGAGTTTAGAGTAAATCACCAAGCCTGGTGTAATGGTTAGCACACGCACTTCTCAAATTGATTCCCAGCTACACCTCACCTACTGTCCTACTATCCATCGGTTGTGGCTGTCGAATAGACCCCAACCTAAAAGTCTGAGTTCTTCTTCATGGGTTAGATCAACCGTTAATGAATTTATACACTGATACCATGTTATAGTCTGACGATTTTTGGCTTTTATCAACTTTTATTACAGCTAACAAAAAGATACGGCGCCAACGATGGTTTATATTGGCGAAACCAAGTCTTAAACGCCTCAGTTGATGAAAGATCACAGCTTCATCAACTAGTAGATGGGCTTTTCACTACTGATAGAGACTTTCAATGAGTAATAATCAATAACACTTGGGAACGAAAAATGTGTACCACTGTAAAGAAAAATGCTATTTCGTTGAGATACTAGTCCACTGGCTAGAGAAAAGCAAGTAACTGTTTTAAGAAACTGACCAAACCGTTGACTTGAAGCCTTATTCACCAGGTAGTTCAGAAACATTCGATGCTGCATACGTATGATTGTCATTGACCACATGTTTGTATGCCATTCGTCCATTTCAGATTGAGACCAGGGTTTTCCTGATCATATAGATGAACTTTCTGCAGCCATTCATTAGGCGATAAGACGCCAACATTCGCCTTTGTGGCAACATTTGCCGTCTTAAGGCTTCCGTAGAAGAAGTTTTGAACGCAAGGCTGTATGTGAACATTCCAAGGGGATGAGTAAAATTCATTCCAACCTCATCATTACCAGGAAATTTCGGTGACAAACGTGTGTATCAGTAATAGACGTTAATTACAAAATGTTTCCTTATACAAACATGCCCTTAAAAAATCTAAATCTTCTTGCCTTGATCCCAGAAAAGAGTACATGCTATTGAAATGTTATAAATGCATTATAAACAATTGAACTAAGCTTTTTATACCTAGATTTAAACGATGTTGTTTATAAAAAGAAAAAGGTGGATATATAAGAAATTGTATAAGTCATTAATTAATACAGACTTTACAAATTATTACCTTATAAACGTTTTAGCTACTCGACTAGTGATACTGGCTTTCTCAAAGATATTATCTCCTGTATAAATATATCACGTTCAACCATTGTATTAGAAGTTATAATTGACCCAGCTCGAGTTGTTGGTATACCCAAATAATGCATAGCCTAATAATTTTTTTTTCAAAATAAAAAGAATGATATTTTTAGAAAGATTAACTGCCAAATGAATTAATTAAGCACTTGAAAAGATAAATCTGTATTGCATTGGAATTTTAAATCCTTGGTTCTAGGCTCAAACCCCCGAAACTCACTTATTATTGTGTAGATAGTTAGGCATCATTCATTCATTCACACAATAAGTATGACTTATAGACTAGACCAGATGGAATTCCTTCAGAAGCACTGAGAACAGACGCAGAGACAACAGTGAACATGCTCACACCACTGTTGCAGAAGGTTTGGGAGGAAGGAAGGAAGGAAAGGTACCTGCTGATTGATTGGAAGAAGGGCTACCTTGTCAAACTCCCAAAGAAGGGTGACGTAAGTCTGTGCAAGAACTGGCGAGTAATAATGCTCCTGTCCACCCCAAGCAAAATATTAAGCTGCGTCATCCTGGAGAGACTAAAAGTGCTCTGCATTCAAAATTACGACCAGAACAGGTTGGCATCAGGAAAAGTTGCAACGCTACGCATCATCATAGAACAGAGCATAGAATGGCAGTCAACGCTCTACCTCAACTTCATCGATTTTGAAAAGGTCTTCGACAGCGTCGCTGTGGAAGTAATTTAGCAGCTGTTGCTTCAACACTACAGTTCTAGAGCCACAAACCCTTATCAATTTCATTCAACAGCTAGAAGAAGATGCCACATGCCAAGTGTTTCACAATGGAAGGTTCAGTGACACCTTTGGAGTGAAGACGGGAGTTAGACAAGGCTGCGGCCTACTATCACCGATGATCTTCCTGATTAGGGTCGACTGCACTGGACTAAATCATGCAACCGACAACTGTGAGGAGTGATAAGATGGGCGTACGCTAGCTGGACCGATGAAAAGAGCCGAGATTTAGATTTCGCCGGTGATGATTTATGTCTAATGTCGCACAAACTCAAAAATCTACAGGCAGATGAGGCGAGGCAGTGAAGATGGGACTTCCTTTAGGTGAATATAGGGAAGATAAAGGTGATGAAGATACCCAACAACAACAACAACGACAACAACAAGCACCAATCACCATCAACGAGAGAAATCTAAAGGAAGTTGTCTCTTTCACCTACCTATGCAGGTCAGCATCTTCTCAACTACTGTCAGAGGGAGCGGCACAGATGAAGATGTCAAAGCCAGGATCAGAAAGATAGCATAAAGAACAAGATCTAGATTTTCAACACTAATGTCAGGTAAGTCAGTGCTTCCATGTGATGGTTCAGAGACTCGACGTATTACAAACAAAATTTCCAAAAAACTAGACATACATCACATCAACAGCTACCGCCTACGCTCGCTTCATACTTAAGGTCACATGGCGAGAATAATAAGAATAAGCAACAAGGTACTCTGGTTGGCTGACATCGAAGCAATGAAGCAAGAACCCATCGTCCAACAAATATGCAGAAGAAAGTGGAGATGAATTGGATTGGATTGAAGACACAGTGAGAAGGAAGACCGTTTGGTGACATCACGCTCCATGTGAGGCCAGGCTGTCAAGTGGAATCCAAAAGTGAAAGGACGAGTTGGGCTTCCCAGGCGAGGGTGACATGAAGGTAGAAATGAAAGCTTGTGAACAGTCATGGAGCCAGTTGGGAAGACTTCAGAGAAGAGAGTGAAATGGCGATGTGCTACTGAGGCTCTATGTTCCACTAGGAACTCAAGGGACAAATTTTTAAAAAATAGTAGCCATGATGAATTGACTGGCATCAACTGACACTGAAAATCAGAATGTTACTTTTCGATAAGGTCTATCAGGTATATCTATGTCGACAATTCATAAAACAGAAATAGTCATACGGAAAACTTGTTGATCTGAGAATATTTGATTGTTTCGATTATGTTTATGTTTTGAATGAACAACCAGTGGAATGATGGGATGTGAAAAAGCCAGATCATTTTATGCCCGATTTCTTCAAGCATCATAAATTCGTTATTCTTACATGTAAACAAAGTCATTAAATCCAATCTACACATGTTGGCATCTTAGGAACTGAGATCGATCCCAATAACCAACATCCACCTCAGTCAACTTTCAATATAGTATCATTTATCCTTCATTGTTCTCGGTTTCGCTGTCATTCCTGAGAACTCGGTTATTACTACAAGGGGCAACTCTTTAAAGCCTAAGAAAGTTATAAAGTCAATGATAAATAATTTGTCAAAAATAGAAGCTAGATTGACGGATTGCCGAATTCTGATAACTTCAGATAATAAGGATTTTTATAATAATAACTTATTGGCACTTGTAATTTCCCATGTCTTATTCTGGATTGAACTTGGACGTGGATTCCTAGGTAGAAGCCTCGACATTGTCTGACTACTGATTATGTTGTAATTTGCTTGATAGTGGCTAGGAGTGAAATTCAGGATGCATGCTTTGTCATATTCAGGGATTTATCAGCTGAACGTACCTGCACCCTACTGAGGGGTGATGTTCCCCATGAAAATCAAACCCAGTACCCAACGCTTCAAATCCCAAAAGCGTTATCCACTAAGCCACTGAGGAGCCCTAGACTCCATTGCTAGCCATGTCCACGCAAATTAGAAAATAATAATCATAATGACAATGAATAGTGCAACTCATTAGTTTCATATATGTTTGTATATCATGTTAACAGGTATATTTACCTAATAAGCTAAGTCTACACCGAGAAAAGTATAACGACTAGTAGTCAACTGTTTACATCAATATATTACATCTTCAGTGTATTGTAAGAATAATCTTGAGATTCAAGTGAGTTCTTTGTAATCGAATAAGCTGAGATTTAACTCTTATCACTAGGAAGGAATGATGTTCAGTAATACATCAAATGTTAAATTAACACCATCACAAACAGAAAAAACCCGACAATATACATTGTCTAAAATAACAAGCTTTCTTGGAGAAACAATATAAAAATGTTTAAAAACAGCCAACTTGTGAAAATCCGTGCAGTAGGCAATAGGCCACACCTATCATACGTGAGGGCTAATGATATTACTTGACTGCCCAAACCTTGGTAGGTAGAGCACGACTCTAACGCTTGGTCCAGTGATTAATAGCCATCTCTCTAAACCACTGTGCTACAGCTCTACTGAGAAACAATATATTACAGTTTCTTATATATATATATATATATATATATATATATATATATATATATATATATATATATATATATATATATATATATATATATATTCTTGAGTAACTTACCTCAGAACAAAGGAACTCTCGTAGACTAGAACGTAGTACTTTTCTTCCATCACCTTGTCGAGAAAATGGAGTTAAACCTGATCCTTTCAATTGTAATTCCCAACGTTCACCTCTACTATTGACTACTTCTCCTAATGAACTAAACGAAAGTCACAACAATGATTAAACTACCAACAATATCGAAACAATTGACAAGTTAGACAGGAAAACACTCCAATTATTTCGTCTACAAGGAGTTATAAAAATTGACCACATCAGTATTTATCAGTCCTAATTAGACTGCTTCCGAAAAAGTTGTTAGTATTTCAACTCTGTAGGGAAAAGCAGTACTGATAAGCATGATTCTTTTCAGTTAACAAATACCAAACTGTATGTAATGTGCTGACCACGGAACCTGAAGGTCCTGTGTTCGATCCCTGGCATAGCAGGGCCATGGGTGTGCACTGCTGAGAAGTCCCATACCAGAACGAAACAGCTTTCCAGTGCTCCCAGGTTTCCGATATCCCTCCAACTGATATCAGTCCATGATGAGTACCAACTTGAAAAATCACTAAATCCCCAACAAACCCCCGAATTTAAACTGTATGTAAGCCAGAAGGTAAAGTTGTAACTAACCCCACAGCATGTGAAAACCCCCATCACTTTGAAATAATCCATCCATCAGTCGAAAAGTTATGAAAAATAATCAGCTTTCCACTTGTCACTATATTGATACAAACTCTTGAAAACCCCAAAGTAATAAAATTAATTCCCTATATCTTGGATTATTATGTCAGTTTATTCAAGCAGGGGGGGGGATGGTGGGGACACTTAAAACGACAAGAGCACACACTTTTCTGAAGTAAACACTTCAAAGCATTGTTTTTGAGAGGAAATTATCTCAAACACAAGGTGAACCCATTTATTTCACCGGGGTGCAGATATAACTCAGAATGTGGACATACGACTTTTAAGAAATATCTTGGGTCTACATACCGCTTCACCTGGGCAACTGGGTACATAGACCTGTACTAGGTTGCTTAATTGCAAATCCTCTAACAAAACACTACACTTAACACCGGCAGAATTTTTCATTGCTAAAAGAAAGAGATCTAAATCTAACTGGCAAAATCAATGTAAAACCTCCCATATAGGTATATCAGCTTAAATTGTCATATTTCACAGTAGTATATAGTGGATAGATGGATAGGAATAGAGTGATATCAAAGTAAAAAAAGTTGTTCGAGAGAATAAACAATCTGAAGATAACAGTTAGTGCAAATATTCAAGCTTTATACAATGTCGAGGAGTGAATACATCTGTGCCGTTGTAACGATTTCTGGCCATTTCGCCAAGTCTTCACAACCACTGTTTCTTTTCGTCTCAGGGATCCTAACCAGGTAGTCTACATCTTCCCACACGACTGAGACCAACAGTAAGAGACTTCATCGACTGGTACCACATCTTCATCTGGTCACCCTGAATCCCCTTGTAACAATCCAACTTCCCCTAGCATGACACGTCAAGGTAGACGGTGGCTCGGCATGCGCAGTACATGTCGAAGCTATCATAGTCGATTAAGGTTCACAACCCCACTAATCGACTTGCGTTTCTTGCCACCTAGTACCTTTCACCTGACTTCAACATTGCTCACACAGTGATTCCACCAAACGTGAGCAATACTCCGAAGATATGGGTGATCAAAACCCGGTAACCGCTTCATGTCCTTTACTTTTAACGGCCATGTCTCACAGTCATACAACAGAACAGAACGGACTGCAGAGCAGTATAATCATCCCTTGATAGATAGTCGGGTATCTCGCAAATGGGCAACGAAGGTGACGCAAGTTGACAAATGCCAAACCAAATACACTTAAGGCAAACATTAGCCAAAGTGAGAAAACATTGTAAAAATGCTACGGGTAGATATGGTACTAATCCATGAATTCTCTGACAGTTGGGCAATTATGTAAAACTACTAGGTGGAATGTGTAAGACAATCATAATCGAGGGTAACGCTCAAAATCTGTCGTGATGATGCATACGCATACACATCATGCCCTCGACAAAACGAAACGCACTCGGCAACCTTGTACACATTCGTGCAGTAGACAGTGAGCCATACCTATTGTGTGAGGGATAATGATGCTACTTGACTGCTCAAACCTCGGTAGGTAAAAAGGTATTCGAATCTTTGACCCACTGGTCGATAGTCATCTCCTTAAACCACTGAGCAACAGTTCCTATTATATCCTCGATTAAACAGTAATATATCGTATGCACGTGTATTTTCTGAACACCTTTTTTCCAGTGTATTTTATGATTCCTTCTACCATTTTAATTTTCTCGTCTCCCCTTTTAACTTCTAATGCTGATTCGAAGTGTAACAACTTGGATTGTTAGACTAAATATGATGTAACTTATGTTTATCTGTAACATAGCCCATTTTTTTCCAAAAAAAGTGAACCATATCAATTTAAAACTTGAAAAAATAATGTTTGCCGGAGGATAATACAGTTAATTATCCAGCCAATAAGTGGAAATTTCAAGAACTTATCAAACATTATCTCGTAGTCACTAATTTCATTTCAGATTCAGACCATTTCGCAACTCATCATGATGTATCTGAAGAATACTCGCAGAGTTTATCACAGTTTTGATATTTAGGACATAAAGAAACAAATCATGACCTAGGAAACATATCTTCTACCACAGAATATATAAAAAGACTATTCATTCAGTTTGCAGACTGCTTACATACATTGCTGCACCATCGCCAAGTTGGCCAGCAAAACTGCCAAATTGGTATCCACAATAACAGTGAGCTGTAGGATCGCTACCAGGCCATAATTTGTTGCCTGATAAATACTCAACTAAGACATTTACTTGTCCGGAATGTTCGTCGTCATAGTCAATATCATTTTGTATATCTAAGAGACTCAGCACATCACGAGAAAACAAAACCAGGCGAGGATTGTCCACCTTTGCAGGAGTTACACGAGCAAAACAAGCATTGCGTACAGGGCGTATAACATTGGGTCCATTATCAATGGGTAAGTGTTTTAACTGCACATTCTCAAATCGTGGAGCTTGCGTTGACTGTAGCAATTCACCAGATGATGAATACCTTCGAGATGCCATACAAATATTACTGTTAATAACATGAGAAGTGAAACCAAAATGTAGTTTTTGAAGACAACGATGGATTTTATACCATGTCACCACCTTCTGAAACAAACCATAACAATAATAATAATAATAATAAGTAATGTACTTCAACTCAGTACAGTTTTATGTACGAAACTGTGAACCATGTATCGTCAAATGTTATAGGCCTACATGGCTGCCCACACCTTCGTAAGAGAAGTAGGGTTCCAGTCCGTGACCCATGGGTTGAAAGTCAAGCGCCTAAACCAGTGCGACACGGCTCCACACTTGTAATGCAGATGATAAAGTAAATGGAAATCGATGATAATAATGAGTATTCACAAATCAGTAAAGAGGAGAGTCATACATGGAAAACCGAAAAGCCGTACGAACGTACATGAATTGTGCTCAGACATGCACACTAAGCAGAAATAGTCCTTAGAGAATCGTAGGTTAAGTGCTTTATGTTTGACAGTTTATTAAAAAAAGCATAGAAAACCACGAATTGATATGAAAAATTATCAGAATAGTGCATCTCAATATACACAAAGAAGAATATAAACATAAAATAACAGTAATTCATCTTCTGTACCAGGAATAATTCGACGTAAAAGCTCAGATACTACTACGTTGATCCGACTTACTACACTTCTAATCAATAAAGAGAATTAGTTAGGAGTATAGAAGGAAAACCCCAGATTTAGCTGGATGATAAGCAGAAATAAATAAGTTGTCTGATATTTAAAAATGGAGACAGAAAGTAAATTCATTTAAACCATGTTATATGAGATCTACAAAAGACCACTGTCATCCTCTAAATCTAAGTCAACCAACTCACACATATTCGAGTGGCTCAAAACATCACTCAACTAAACCATCTACATATATATCTTTGAGTTACATACCTATATAAGGCGGCGTCAACCTAGGTCTGAGCAGTAAATCACTGCCATCAGACCCCACATATCATCAAGTGTGACTCATATAATGCCGAAAGAAATTACGTATGACTGAAGAATTGCTAGGCTTAACCAGCTTGAGTCTCTTCTGCTCTACCGTTGGTTCGAGAAACAGTTAAGATCTAAATTATTCAGCAGCATTCGTTCTAATTACTTCCGAGAAAACAGAAAAAATGTACGATATCAAGCAAGAGGAGGGTGCTTTAAACAGACTTTACCAATACAGTGCGAATTAACCAGCAACTGACTTGTTTTTCCTGTCTGGAAACAGAAATGTGAATGATATTAAAAAATCACCATTTACTAAATACTTGCAATAACCTTTGACCACTGATCCTTGCTGGTGTTTCCAGCCACACTGCAGGGCAGTGTAACGAGAAGTCTCAAGTTTTCAAAAACTAAGAAAGTGATTTCCGAATGTTTCGTGACCATTTATCATGCAATGATAACAATTAGTGAAACCAACATTTTATCCCGTATATACTACATGGGTCAATGGGAAAGGTAAATCTGCAGATAATATCAACATAGGGACTGGAATTACTGTGTATTGGTTCACATAAAGCTAACTATGATGTACATGGAGTAACCGACTACAGAAAAAGGTAGTAAACGTCTCTGGAGTTCAAAATATCTGACTTACTTGAAAACCTGAGTCCCCTAAAAGCTCGGTCAGCATCGATGCTCAAAAGTGATTGTATAAGACGGTATTCTTTAGTTAAACCCGCCGGGTAACTGAGCCCTTCCACTACTTATCATAAAGCAACCAGCTAGTATCGTGTGCTCGCAAATAAGTGTAACTCATATACTAGCGCATAAACACTGAAATGCCGAGTTACACGGTGCACAAAATCCGTCAACCTCTACCAGTGTTATTATTTACTTGCTAGTGCTGGAAAAATATAATAGTAAAATGCCATTTAACTCTAAGACTGTGCACTAATGAGATAAAAAGTATAAGCGGCAAAGGTTTTTTGCTAACATTTCATTACTGATGAAATTCAACAACCTAGTGATGTCAGCTTGTAATAAACAATAACAAATAAGGAAGGTATGTCATTAATTTGAGTCCCTAGTCTTCACCAACTAAATTAAAAGCGCCACTATTTGCTCATGCCTACTGTATTCTAATCAGCAGTCAACAATTGTCGTAGTAATCAAGGATCACTGGATAGTGGTCAACTACACTTACGATTCTATTCAAGCGATATGTAAGTTGTACGGTACCCTGTTAGTACCTGAGGGGACATTACAACCAGTTTATCAGAAAATTTCAGAGGAAATTAAACCCTGAAGTAGTAATTCAATGGTTATAGTACAATCATCATCATCATCATCATCATTATCAACATAGGACCAGGCATTACTGCGTAACGGTCCGAGTTGCCACACCTCATATCAGCACATCAAGTAAAAAGGTAGTGAGGTGAAGGATGAAGATAAGTGAATGCAGTCAAAAGAAATATAAAGTATGAGAAGAAAGGAAAGAGGAGTGACAAAATAGTGAGATTCGGTATAGCGTTGTTAAGATGAGGATAATGTGTGTATACATCTGCGCCACTGACTTCGGTTCTGAGCCATATCACCTAGGGTCTCCAACCACTGGTTCCTCTTGTCCCGTGGACCCCAACCACCTAGTCTGCATCGTCCTACATGGCTTAAACCAACAGTCAGAGACTTCATACATTGGTGCCATGTTTTAGTCTGGCCACCTCGGGCCTTTTTCCAGCCTGAACCCACCTCAGCCAACATTGTGTGACGAGGCAATCGGTGACTAGGCATACGTAGTACGTGTCCCAACCATCTCAGTCGATGAAGGTTCACAACCTCGTCGACTGACTTACCTCTTCTCCCTAAAACTCTACACCTAACTTCTGCATTACTCACATGGTGACACCACGGAATACGTCCTATACTACGAAGGCAACGGTGGTCAAATACCTGTAACCTTCTCATGTCTTCCACTTTCAATGGCCATGTTTCACAGCCATACAGTAGAACAGAGCGGACTGCTGTGCAGTACACGCGACCCTTAATAGACAAACGAATATCACGGCGGCGCCATAGGTGGCGCAAATTGGCAAAAGCCAATCGAGCCTTTTGTATCCGTGCAGAAATCTCATCGGCAACTAACCCACCGGAGTTGATCCTACTTCCCAGGTAAGTGAAGTGGTCAACACACTCAACCACTTCACTCTCTATTGTTAACCGCGGTACCGCTGAAGACCAGTCCTGGAGCAAAAATTTGCATTTGGGTGGTGAAAATCGCATCCCAAACATTCTCAAATTCCCACTCAAAGTGTTCAGAAGACTCTGCATCTTGTCAGCGTCTTCACCTAACAGGACTATGTCATCTGCATATTCTAGATCTAAGGAAAATTCACCTGTGATCCGGTCAACGTCTTTGTAATTAGGTGACGAGAGGGAAACCTCCATAAGAATATCTATGATAAAATTAAATAAGAATGGGGATAGTGGGCATCCTTGACGGACACCACTTGATGAGTATAGCTCCCTGGACAACTCACCATAGGCTCTAACATGCCCACAAGTGTTCGAGTAGAGAGCTTTCAATAAGGTGATGTACTTACTAGGCACGCCTTTCAGTGACAGACACTGCCATAAGACTTCTCGATCAACGGAGTCAAATGCCGCCTTCAGGTCGAGAAATACAGCTATTGTCGGGCGTCTGTAAGCATGCCTATGTTCCAGGACCTGGCGCAGTGTGAATATTTGGTCGATACATCCACGGCCAGGTCTAAAGCCTGCCTGGTTTTCTCGGGCTTGCTGTTCCCGAGCTCCACTCAGGCGTCGGAGAATTATAGAACTTAGGATCTTAGACACTATGTTTGTCAGGCTGATTCCTCTGTGGTTATCACAAGAGGACTTCTCGCCTTTCTTGAAGACTGGGATGATCAGTGACTTAGACCAGTCGGAGGGGATCGTATTTGATTCCCATATACTGGCTAACACTTCCGTTAGCCTGACTAAGAGAACTCTACCACCATTCTTGTATACCTCAGCAGGTAGTCCGTCTGGTCCTGCTGCCCTTCCCCGTTTCAGGCTACCTACCGCTTTCTCAACTTCTTCTAGTGTTGGGGGACCTGTCTCTATGTCCCATTCAGGGTCCGACTGGATAGCGGGCAGCGCAATGGTGGCTGGAGGCCAGTTAAACTGTTCCTCAAAGTGTTCTGCCCATCGTCCCAGTCGCCTTCCCTGCGAGTGAATCGCCGATCCGTCCTTCTCCGCTATAACCTCACTAACTGTTGTTGACCATTTCCCCCCAGTCTCCTTAATAAGTCTAAATAACTGTCTACTGTTACCGATCGCCGCTGCCTTTTCCATCTCTTTAGCCTTTGCTGCCCACCACTGTTCACGATCGTTGCGCAGACTTTTCGTCAGTTTATTTTTAAGTTGCGCTCGCTCTTCATTGTACTCAGAGCCTGCAGGGATGCATTCACGTGCATCCATTAGTTTGGAAGAAGCTGCTGATATCCACTGGCTCTTTTTAGCCATTATCTTGGAGTCGGCTACAGTCTCCAGTGCTGCTTTTACAGTAGACTGAAGATGGCACCAAGCTTCTTCTGGATGAGTGACAGTCTTTTGTTCCGATAACTGCCTAGCCAACTTCTCACTGAACACGGCTTTGGTGTTTTCGTTGTCCAGCAGAACTCGTAGTGGTTTTGTTGCCAAATTTTTTCTACGTCCATTGAGACGCAGGCATATACGTGCTCGGACCAACGCATGATCGCTGTCCAAACACGTACTCCAGAAGGAGCGGCAGTCTTCCACCGATCCTCTCCAGCGATGACTAATAGCAATGTGGTCTATCTGTGTCCATCGCTGAGTCGAGCTCGGTGGACGCCAGGTCAGACAGTGCCTTTCTTTATGTCTGAAATTTGTGCTGGCTAAAAATAGGCGGTTATCTGAGCATAGTTGTAATAGGCGATCACCGTTATCTGTACGTTCAGCTGGGATTCCGAAAGTGCCACCTAAGTGCCTTTCTGCCTCACTCAGTCTACCCACCTGTGCGTT